GTGGCTGGCCGAATGGTTAGAATGCCAGGCTCTCGTGCAGGGAGAAGCAGGGTTTGAATCCTGTTAGGTTGAGGATTTTTTTGTTGTTGGAGGCAAAAGTAAATCCTCAGCTGCACAGTCCGTGGCGACAGCACTAGCCATGCGGCCCTAAATTCTCAGGCTCAAAGACTTCCGTGCCTACACCACAAAAGTGGTAAAATAGCTGTAGTAATTGGCAGTTTTTATTATCTCATTGTGCTATTTTATGTCGCAGTGGAGTTCTCCATTCTGTTCTATCCTGTTCAATCACATGGATGGAAGCTTTGGCCTCTCTTATCAGCATTCATCTTAGGGTTTCTTTTGAGCGTCCTGGCCTCGTTAATCCCTTTATTTCCTATTCAAATGCCTGCTTGGTGATTCTCTGCTGGTTCCTTCTCAGGATGTGTCCATTGTAGCGCCATCTTCTCTAACACTTCACAGACAGTGACTAACTAAAAGGCAGGTGTCAAGGAGGCTAAGAAATGGACCATATCCCATACACAGACACGCTAAGAATTACTACCATGTCAGTGAAAAATGGTTTGTAATCTCTGCAGAAGAACGCCCTTACATGTGTACGTCTTGTGGAGCTACATTCAAGCTCTCCTGCACACTCAAGAAACATGCCAAAATCCACACACGAGAGGTTCAAGGACGGAAAACAAGGTCATCAAACCATGGTTAGTTCTCCTACCATGAGACAGTATATATATATATATATTGTGTGTGTTGGTATATACACATAAATATATATATGTGTGTGTGTTGGTATATACACATAAATATATATTTGTGTGTGTGTTGGTATATACACATAATTATATATTGTGTGTGTTGGTATATACACATAAATATATGTGTGTGTGTTGGTATATACACACATAAATATATATGTGTGTGTGGGTATATACTAGGGCTGTACCGAATAGGGATTTTCACTATTCGGCCGAACACGAATAACGGGACCAACTATTCGGCTGAATACGAATAGTGTTTCATCTTCATTAGGTGCCTTGCTGAGTGGCATGGGCCTTGCCACCATCTGCAATCTCCTGCAGCATGTATTAGTTCGTGTGACACACCACCATACCATGCAACAAGACTCAAGAATCTTCTCTCGTTGTCTTCCTCTATCCCTCCTTCCACAGATCTCTCCAGTGGTCAACACATGTTTCATTTTCCCTCGTTTATTAACATGGCCGAAAAATAATGGCTGTCTCCTTCTGATGTCTGTGATTAGCTGTCTTCGGGCTCCCGCCTCTTTCAAAACCTCTTGGTTACTTTTTTTTGGCTGTTCAAGCATTCTTCTGTAAAACCACATCTCTGAGGCCTCAAGAAATTGTTTGGCCTGCCTACCGATTGTCCAGGACTCACAGCTATATGTTAAAACTTGCTGCTGCACCATGCAACCGGGTCGCAGTTGCCCCCGCTACGACAGACTTAGGCAACAGCAACTATTGTGTCAATTAGAGAGTTATTTCAGTTTATTACAGTGTATGCAGAAACGGGTGTAAGGTAACCACTATTCGTATTCGGCCGGACCCCAAGTATTCGACCGAATACCAAATAGTTATTAGGTCCACTATTCGGTCCCGAAGCAAATATGAAGCGAATATTCGGTACAGCCATAGCATATACACATAAATATATTTTACATTAAAAAAAAATTTGCCACATGGATCATAATCTTACTGCGTTCAGGATTATGAAATTGAACTGATTCACTAAACTCATTCCAAGCCACAGAGCCGCATCATTACTGACTACAAACATTCAACTAATGTCTTTCTGTCGCAGTTATTTTAACCTATTCTATAACAGTTATGCACATCATTATCATTAAGTGCCTTGCTGACTGGTGTAGCCACTTATGTTAACTAACCCATCTGTTGCCATCTCCAGCTAACAACACATATTTGTGTGCGGACAATGAAATGCAAGTTGAATGCATTTAAACAAATGCCTGTGGAATGTGAGGAACACAGAATGGGATGAATGAACGAACAAACTTTATTTTCAAAGGGTTAAGAATTGGGCACGCAGGCCCGTCTAACATTCAAAAGAGGGATGACAAAATAAGAGAAATGTCTGGTCAATCACTACAGTCCATTCCAGAAGTTATGTAGACCTTTACTTCTTCTTCTTCTTCTTTGCTTCACCGGCTGTGAATTCCGGCGGAAGGTCCCGGTTAGTCGTCCGCTTTAACTTTTGGCTTTTACCTGGACCTGAGTTTTGCATGTACGTTTTACTGGCTTTTGCCGATCCTTGCCTCACGGGCAGATGTACTCCGACTTTGAGGGAGGGAACTTTACAAATCTGTAACTTAGCAACCGTTTGGGGTAAGATGTTAATTTGGCATGCGGCCTGTTAATAATCATGTCCTTGTTAGATTTTTTTTTAAATGTAAACAAAACATCTAATTTTCATTTTGCTTTATTTGGAAGTAGAGGCGGCCACATCACCCATCTTGTGCCAATTGGTCTATAAAATATAGGTCTGGCCCCATATGCCCTATCATTAAAGTCAACTAATTAGGGAAGTTTCCTTCAAAATCAGAATACATCTGCCTGGGAGGTAAGAAACCAACAGCCAGCATACAAATAAGCCATATCTGTAAAACAGTTGTGCACACAAAACTCAAGTTCTGGAACACGACAAAAGTCCAGAACCGGATAAACATCCAGAATTTTCCACTGAAGTTTACAGCCTGTGAACATGAAGAAGACGAAAAATTTCCCCAGTCACTTCCTGTAATCTATATTAGGTTTTGTCAGCTTGGAGAGCCAAGGTAAATTAATTTTTTTTAATCTGCCCCTGTGTGGATTTTAACCAAAGATATTTAGGCTGGTAAGCAAGGGTTTATCCATTGTGCCACCCATGATTCAGTACCATGCAATATTTGTATTACTCTTAATTATATAGGTAATATAATGTTACCATTATTCTTGTTATAGGGAAACTAAAGTCTCAAGTTCAGGAATCAACACCTTTACTGAAAGTACAGAAACTTCGACAACTACAGCAGCACCAACAGGAGCCACAACAACAACATCAGCGGCAATTAATGAATATGTCACCAACGAGCCCACGGACATCCCTAGCACCACACTTCACACAGAAGAATGTGCCTACACTTGAAGACAACATTGGACAAACCCACTTAATCCATGAACTAAAACCAGTTTCTACCAGTGGCCTGCAAATGGACAGCTCAAATCTTAACCATGACAGAGGGAACACCACACTGCTGGAAGCAAGACATCCTGACCAATGCCTCATCAGACATGGTGAGATTATTGAGACCAGCGACAGAGAAACAGCAAGACATCTGACTGAAATGCGAAATGTGGTGTCGAACCCTATTCAACACAGCACACGGGGTAACAGCTTCAGTGCATTTTATTATTACTGAAAAAAAAAGACAGTAAACCAGGAGAAAGATACCACTGCTAAAGCGATACTAACCAGTAGATTTTCTTTTTTTAACACTGTAATAACCAGTGCATTTTTGTTAACTCTTTTAGAACAAAGTAGTTATAAATAGATGCAAGCTGAGGTCCTTGGTAGCCAAAGATATAAGACATAGCTAAATTAAACTATCATATTAACTATGAAATGAGGTACAAATGAATAATTGTATGCAAGGAGCGGAGTGGGAGGGCAGAATGTTAAACGGGCCTGCATCCTCAATTCTTAACCCTTTGAAAACAAAGGTTGTTGGTTCGTTCGTTCGTTCACATTAATATTATCATTTCAGTTTCTTCCAATATAAAAAGGTCATAGTAGTTGAATGTTGAAACAATGCCAATCCAAATGAGAAGTCGAAGTTTTCAGCTGCAATATCAGAATCATGAATGACAAAATTAATGCTGCGACCAGAAAGCCTTCACTGACATGACTCAAATGGATAATGATACTGTTCTTCTTAGTGTTTTCCAGCTGTAAACCCCAGCAAACATTCCTGGTTGTTCGCCCATTTCTGGACTTAGGTCTTGCTCCAGAACTTGAGATCTGACTTATGCATATGCAGACTGTTGGTTCCTTGCCTCTCAGTCGACTTCAAAGGAAACACCATCATTTAGTCACCTTTTATGACATGCTTGTTAGGAGGTAGTGGGTCTATTCTTGTTCTTCCAAAATGGGGCCCCCGAACCCACACAGGGAAGTTGACCCTTGTAAACTCGAACCCAGACAATGATTTCTTTTGAGTTTAAAGGACACAGTTACAAACAGCAGTAGATCAAGCGATTACAAGCACAAAAACAAGTGCAGTTACAAACAGCAGCAGAAAACAGAAGACAGTTACAGACAGCAGCAGAAAACAGAAGACAGTTACAGACAGAAGCAGAAAACAGAAGACAGTTACAATCAGCAGCAGAAAACAGAAGACAGTTACAATCAGCAGCAGAAAACAGAAGACAGTTACAAATAGCAGCAGAAAACAGAAGACAGTTACAAATAGCAGCAGAAAACAGAAGACAGTTACAAACAGCAGCAGAAAACAGAAGACAGTTACAGACAGCAGCGGAAAACAGAAGACAGTTACAATCAGCAGCAGAAAACAGAAGACAGTTACAAACAGCAGCAGAAAACAGAAGACAGTTACAAACAGCAGCAGAAAACAGAAGACAGTTACAATCAGCAGCAGAAAACAGAAGACAGTTACAAACAGCAGCAGAAAACAGTTACAATCAGCAGCAGAAAACAGAAGACAGTTACAAACAGCAGCAGAAAACAGAAGACAGTTACAAACAGCAGCAGAAAACAGAAGACAGTTACAATCAGCAGCAGAAAACAGAAGACAGTTACAATCAGCAGCAGAAAACAGAAGACAGTTACAAACAGCAGCAGAAAACAGTTACAATCAGCAGCAGAAAACAGAAGACAGTTACAAACAGCAGCAGAAAACAGAAGACAGTTACAAACAGCAGCAGAAAACAGAAGACAGTTACAAACAGCACCAGTGAACAGAAACAACATACCTGTATTTTCCAGGTGTAGGTTACGCTTCCGAAGTCTGTATGGCGTGCTCGACTCCATACGCTTGTGGTCTCGTACAGCAGAAATACCCCGAGGCTGTTTCTCTGCCAAGGGACCTAAATTGTTGGAAACAAAAACTACGTTAGACTGACAGTACTTCAATTCAATCTGAAGAAACTTCTGTGTCCACTGACAGCTTTCATTATATTAGTAGCTAGAAAACCTTCATCAACACATGACATGAATAGATTATGCTACAATTAACAAACAAACAAAAAGGCAAAAATCACTTAATTTAGCTTTTTCTGAGAGAAATCCACATGTCTGCCTGGCCAGTTGAAGTTCTGACACATGTGTGAATAAAAGAAATGAATACTAGCCAGACAGAAAATACTTTGTCTAGCAAAGACCATGTTTAAAAAATATTATATAAAGCTGTATTGGATGTTAAGTCCCTAGTCCATATTAACTAGAGTGGAGACTTGGTTCTCTGTCAGATGAATTCAAAATAGCACAGTAATATATTGCCTACTGCAGCTGTGTCTCAGGAATGCTTCAATTACTCAGCCCCATATACAAAGTCAAACATACATTAATGGAGAAAGTTACTGCCAGCCCTGTTTGATGTGTAAATGGCACAACAGAATGATGTATGTATGTGAAACTTCTAGGTGTATGGGCAAGGCAGGAGGAAAACACCAGACAGACGTACAGGCAGTCACATAGTTAGATTTATGGTCAACTGAAATGTTGTAATCTAAAAACAAGACAGACTTCCTTTTATCTTCCACTTACACCTAGACGATTTAATCAAAAAGTTTATAGATTACATTTTTAAGAGGAAGCCACAAAACAAATTTGTCAATAATAAATGTATAGGCAGTCTCACATTCCATGTACCAAAAGATAAACATGTTAACAGGAAAGATGACACGTAACAACACTGGATGTTTGAAATCAAAAGATGGTGACTTATTAATGGTACATAGTAATATAATTAACAGATGGACAGAGTATATAGGGGAATTGTATGATGATAATGGACCAGATGTAGAACTGCAGACCAACAATGATGGTCCACCAATAATGACTGCGGAAGTTGGGATACAATACATCATATGAAGAAAGGAAAAGTACCCTGGCCAGACAACATCTTACTGGAAGAAATCGAAGCACTGGGAGATTTTGGAATTGAAATAATAACTAAACTTTTAAATGATATTTATAATAGTGGGTATATTCCAAATGACCTTTTAAAATCCATATTTATAGCTCTGCCTAAGAAACCAGGCACTATAAAATGGGAAGACCATCGCACAATAAGTCTTATGAGTCACATGACTAAGATTTTACTGAGAATAATTATGAGAAGAATAAGAAACAAAATTAAACCAGACATCAGCGATGAACAATGTGGATTTGTAGAAGGAAAAGGTACAAACAATGCCAAATACACCCTAAGGACATTGTCAGAAAGAGCTATAGAAGTAAAGACTGATTTGTACATATGCTTCATAGACTATACAAAAGCGTTTGACTGTGTGAAGCATGAAGAAGTAATCAAACTGTTAAAAAAATTAAACATTGATGGGAAAGATCTAAGAATAATTAAGAATATGTATTGGCAGCAAACAGCAGCTATAAGAATTAACAACTGTTTAGGTACATTTCAAAGCATAAAGAGGGGCGTACGACAAAGATGTGTACTGTCACCTGATTTGTTTTCACTATACAGTGAATATATAATGAGAACTTTAATTGGTATGCCCGGAATTGTGGTTGGTGGGCACAATATAAATAATTTACGTTATGCTGATGACACAGTCTTGATAGCAACAAGTCAGAAAGAACTACAGGAAATGATAGACATTGTGGTGTTAGAAAGTGGAAGAATGGGCCTCAGTTTGAATAATGGGAAGACAGAAGTAATGGTGGTATCAAAGAAACAAATTATTCCTAAGTGTGTAATAAAAGTTGATGGTGTTATTTTAGGACAAGTACAGAAATTTAATATCTGGGCACATGGATAACATCAGATGGAAGATGCATAACTGAGATAAGAAACAGAATAGGACTGGCAAAAACTGCTTTTTATAAAATGAAAAACATCTTGTGCAATATATCCTTGTCATTGAGAGTTAGAAAAAGAATTCTTGCTTGCTACATACATCCAGTTTTAACATATGGCTGTGAATCCTGGACAATAGGTAGGCAGGCCAAACAATTCCTGGAGGCCTCAGAGATGTGGTTTTACAGAAGAATGCTTAGAATACCTTGGACAGCCAAAAAGAGCAACCAAGAGGTTTTGAAAGAGGCGGGAGCCCAAAGACAACTTATCACAGACATCAGAAGGAGACAGTCATCATTTTTCGGCCATGCTATGAGAAGAGGGAAAATAGAACATGTTGTGACCACTGGAAAGATGTGGAAGGAGAGATAGAGGTAGACAACGAGAGAAGATGCTTGACAGTCTTGTTGCATGGCATGGAGGTGTGTCGGCACACGAAGTGATACATGCTGCAGGAGATCGCAGATTATGGAGAGGCATGATCGCCCACGCCAGTCGGCAAGGCACATGATGATGATGATGATGATAGGCAGTCACAAAGCTAGATGAATGGTGGAGTGGCATCTTTTAATCTAAAAACTTCATGCCTAAACTTTCTAGGTGGATCCAGAAGACAAGAGGAAGCCATGATATAAATTTGCCAATAATTATTGTACAGGCATTATTCACAAAGCTAGATATATAAAATGACGTTCTAGTCTAAAAACTGTGCACCAGTGTCCAGGCTGAATATCCTGGCATTAGGCTCATAAAACACTTACTGGCAGTGATTTGCTTTTTATCAGATTTAGGAGGGGTAGAGAAAATCTGTCCTCTCCTGACTGGACTCATGGATGTAGCTTCTTGTGACTTGACTCTGCCTCTCTTTGACTTTGGTGTGGCTGGAGAGCAGCTATCTTGCGCTGAAATATGAGTTAAACAGTTAGTCATGTATCCTTGACAGGACATGTGCTGAAATATGAGTTAAACAGTTAGTCATGTATCCTTGACAGGACATGCGCTGAAATATGAGTTAAACAGTCAGTCATGTATCCTTCACAGGACATGCGCTGAAATATGAGTTAAACAGTTAGTCATGTATCCTTCACAGGACATGTGCTGAAATATGAGTTAAACAGTCAGTCATGTATCCTTGACATGTGCTGAAATATGAGTTAAACAGTTAGTCATGTATCCTTCACAGGACATGTGCTGAAATATGAGTTAAACAGTCAGTCATGTATCCTTGACATGACATGTGCTGAAATATGAGTTAAACAGTTAGTCATGTATCCTTCACAGGACATGTGCTGAAATATGAGTTAAACAGTCAGTCATGTATCCTTGACATGACATGTGCTGAAATATGAGTTAAACAGTTAGTCATGTATCCTTGACACGACACGTGCTGAAATATGAGTTAAACAGTTAGTCATGTATCCTTGACACGACATGTGCTGAAATATGAGTTAAACAGTCAGTCATGTATCCTTGACAGGACATGTGCTGAAATATGAGTTAAACAGTCAGTCATGTATCCTTCACAGGACATGTGCTGAAATATGAGTTAAACAGTCAGTCATGTATCCTTCACAGGACATGTGCTGAAATATGAGTTAAACAGTCAGTCATGTATCCTTCACAGGACATGCGCTGAAATATGAGTTAAACAGTTAGTCATGTATCCTTCACAGGACATGTGCTGAAATATGAGTTAAACAGTCAGTCATGTATCCTTGACATGACATGTGCTGAAATATGAGTTAAACAGTTAGTCATGTATCCTTCACAGGGACATGTGCTGAAATATGAGTTAAACAGTCAGTCATGTATCCTTGACATGACATGTGCTGAAATATGAGTTAAACAGTTAGTCATGTATCCTTCACAGGACATGTGCTGAAATATGAGTTAAACAGTCAGTCATGTATCCTTGACATGACATGTGCTGAAATATGAGTTAAACAGTTAGTCATGTATCCTTCACAGGACATGTGCTGAAATATGAGTTAAACAGTCAGTCATGTATCCTTGACATGACATGTGCTGAAATATGAGTTAAACAGTTAGTCATGTATCCTTCACAGGACATGTGCTGAAATATGAGTTAAACAGTCAGTCATGTATCCTTGACATGACATGTGCTGAAATATGAGTTAAACAGAGTCATGTATCCTTGACACAACACGTGCTGAAATATGAGTTAAACAGTTAGTCATGTATCCTTGACACGACATGTGCTGAAATATGAGTTAAACAGTCAGTCATGTATCCTTGACAGGACATGTGCTGAAATATGAGTTAAACAGTCAGTCATGTATCCTTCCCAGGACATGTGCTGAAATATGAGTTAAACAGTCAGTCATGTATCCTTCACAGGACATGTGCTGAAATATGAGTTAAACAGTTAGTCATGTATCCTTCACAGGACATGTGCTGAAATATGAGTTAAACAGTTATGTATCCTTGACAGGACATGTGCTGAAATATGAGTTAAACAGTTAGTCACGTATCCTTCACAGGACATGTGCTGAAATATGAGTTAAACAGTTAGTCACATATCCTTCACAGGATATGTGCTGAAATATGAGTTAAACAGTTAGTCACGTATCCTTCACAGGACATGTGCTGAAATATGAGTTAAACAGTTAGTCACATATACTTCACAGGACATGTGCTGAAATATGAGTTAAACAGTTAGTCATGTATCCTTGACAGGACATGTGCTGAAATATAAGTTAAACAGTTAGTCATGTATCCTTGACAGGACATGCGCTGAAATATGAGTTAAACAGTTAGTCATGCATCCTTGACAGGACATGTGCTGAAATATGAGTTAAACAGTTAGTCATGTATCCTTGACAGGACATGTGCTGAAATATGAGTTAAACAGTTAGTCATGTATCCTTGACAGGACATGTGCTGAAATATGAGTTAAACAGTTAGTCATGTATCCTTGACAGGACATGTGCTGAAATATGAGTTAAACAGTTAGTCATGTATCCTTCACACGACATGCGCTGAAATATGAGTTAAACAGTTAGTCACATATCCTTCACAGGACATGTGCTGAAATATGAGTTAAACAGTTAGTCGTGTATCCTTCACACGACATGTGCTGAAATATGAGTTAAACAGTTAGTCATGTATCCTTGACAGGACATGTGCTGAAATATGAGTTAAACAGTTAGTCATGTATCCTTGACAGGACATGTGCTGAAATATGAGTTAAACAGTTAGTCACATATCCTTCACACGACATGCGCTGAAATATGAGTTAAACAGTTAGTCATGTATCCTTGACAGGACATGCGCTGAAATATGAGTTAAACAGTTAGTCATGTATCCTTCACAAGACATGTGCTGAAATATGAGTTAAACAGTTAGTCACGTATCCTTCACAGGACATGTACTGAAATATGAGTTAAACAGTTAGTCATGTATCCTTCACACGACATGTGCTGAAATATGAGTTAAACAGTTAGTCATGTATCTTTCACACGACATGCGCTGAAATATGAGTTAAACAGTTAGTCATTATCCTTCACACGACATGCGCTGAAATATGAGTTAAACAGTTAGTCAAGTATCCTTGACAGGACATGTGCTGAAATATGAGTTAAACAGTTAGTCACGTATCCTTCACAGGACATGTGCTGAAATATGAGTTAAACAGTTAGTCACGTATCCTTCACACGACATGCGCTGAAATATGAGTTAAACAGTTAGTCACATATCCTTCACACGACATGCGCTGAAATATGAGTTAAACAGTTAGTCACATATCCTTCACACGACATGCGCTGAAATATGAGTTAAACAGTTAGTCACATATCCTTCACACGACATGGGCTGAAATATGAGTTAAACAGTTAGTCATGTATCCTTCACATGGAAAGACAGAATATGAAATCAGACGAATGCTAGGAATAAAGCGAGTCTTACAGGTCATCAAAGAACAACAAAGGAAGTGGTTTGGACACCTAACAAGAATGCCCTGGTACTATCTGCCACAGCGAGCCACACTAAAACGTTACAATGGGTATAGAGCGAGTGGAAGATATTCGGAAAAGATGGAGTGATGGCATTAAGAACAGCCTTACAGAAATGAACATCAGTCTTAATAGTGCTCTTGACAGAGCTCATCAACGAACATTACATCTCCCCCGACACTTCGATGAGGTACAAGGTGGAAGAGAAGAAGAAGAAGATTTTTCCCCTGTTCGTCCTTTTGGACTTTGGCTGTGTGCCAGAGCCTGAGTGTTTCGTGTACATCCATTTTACTAGCTTATTTGCGTGCAGTTGGTTGTTCCTTGCTATTGGGGGAGATGCACTCAGAATTCAAAGGAAGCTCCCAATTAGTCAACTCTTATGACATGCTTTTGAGATGGCAGTGGGTCCATTCTTGTTTTTTCGAGAAGGGAGCCCCAGAACCCATACGGGTAGCCACTGCTTCTGAACAATAAAGTATCAACAACGTTGTGGAAATCAAGGCAAAGCAGTCTGCAGCCAGATCAACTGCAGCTGATATAAAATAACAAAGAGTAATATAATGATAATTTATAAATGAATCATATTCATGTATCTAATCAGAAAACATAACCACACAAACATACCTTTTAACACCATCTGACCAGATTTTTTGGGTGTTTTGAACTGGAAAATTTCTTTCCCAGAGACAGACTCTTCATTGCTGTCAAAAACTGAAAGAAAAAATTAATGACTTTGATGAAAGATAATAAAAGCAACAGTAAAAGTAAAGGCTCCTTTTCCATGCCTTTTACGTGTACTGGGTATATAGGGCTAGACCTATGTGTTTATAGACTAATAGGCACTTGGTGGGTGATGTGGTCAACATCATGCCAGCTGCCTTTACTTCCTAGGACTGCACCTGGTACCCACTCAAGGCTGGGTCGATCTGCGAGTCAGGGTCATTTTGAAAAACAAAAGTCTGTCACAAACCCACGACCTTCCGATCCACAAACGACCTTCCGATCCACAAACGGGTGTCTAGCCACCAACGCCACAGCCACTCCCGAAGTAAGGGAGGAAAAAAACAACAGAATGTCAGTTGTAGTTGTTATTGTATGAAAGGTACTGGTAAATAGTTACAGAAATATCTCTGTGTTGGTTCTGGGGCCTCATTATGGGGAAAGCAAGAATAGACAAACTGCCTCCCCAAAAGCATGTTGTAGTTGTCAACTAAATGGGAGTTTCCTTCAAATTCAGAGTGCATCTGCTTAAGAGGCAAGGAACCAAGTCTGTATGCGAATGAATCAGATCTGTAAAACAGATGTACATAGCAACACTCACGTTCAGGAAGTGAAAGAACAACCAGAACTTTCTGCCAGAGTTTACAGCTAGTGAACGCGAAGAAGAAAGTTACATAAATTTGTTCTACCAGCATATTTGTTTTTTACAACGCTAGGCTTTCCCGTGGGCGACCCAGGCCTGATCCTCTGTATGTGGTAAAGATTTTTTTCTGTAGAAAGCATAAAAACAAAATCCTAACCTGCAGAGTTCAACCACACTAGCCAGGTGGCCTTAACCTTGTTGCCAGACGAATACTCAACAAAGTCGCATTCGGTTGTGATACATTCCCGTAAATGCTGACATATGTATAAACGTTCGTGTTAATTAATTGCCCCTTTTTATATCTATATATATTTTGGAAACCAACAATTTTGAAATATGTATTATTAGCCTGTAAATATAGTTGTTTGTTTTTCAAGTTTTTTTCCCTGAAAATTCCCATGGGTTCCTATTTCTTTTTAGCCTTCACAAGGGTAAGATCCTCAAGTTAATGACCTCCCCGACCTACATCCTCCTGAGAGTGGTAAATACATGCAATAAAGTTAATAATGGATGGCTCAGTGTAGAACAGAATATTTCTGACAAACTATGATAAGAACAACGTTCTGTACAATATGCGTCACATGATGATGACCATTAGTTTGGTGTCCTTGCCTTGTCAGGAGTGGCTTAATACCCTTTCGCCTGGTAAAAATCGTTAAATATTACCCATTTATTGGTACATTTGGGGTGGGGGGGGGGGGGGGGGGGGGGTTAAAAACACATCTTTATAATTCTCTGAAACTACGATAGGAAACTAGAAGAACACAAGAAATGTGGAGTCCTAGACAGTTTGTATACATATTCAGGAGGTCGAACCTTCAGACCACTGATCAGACAGGTAAAGTGAAGTTCTCTGCTTCTTTGATGACGTCACATCACTAAATAAATGAATGTAAAAATTTTTTTTTCACTTTTCACTAAATTTATAAATTGAGAACACGTTTATTACTGAGTGTCATAATCATTAATACAAAATGGAGCCCAAAATTAACTTATATCCTTCCATTTTATCTTTAGATGGGATTTTTGTCACTCTGCTACAGATAGCAATTGGACGCAATAATGGAATTATATGACATCACTGTGACGCCACCATTTTTATAAATCTATTTTTCCCCACCCCAAATGATACCTTGAAATAATTGTGGCGAATATAAGCATACCCACCATATCTACACACAATGTGGAGAAACAGCTTTCGAGGGGCAAGAGAGTTGAAGATACTAAGTTCATCAATAACTTCTTCACTGTTTGTGTGAGTCTCATAATTTTGTTCAGCTGCGATATCTGCACCTTTCAGCCAACACATCCAGCTTCATGTGGCATTTGTTGTTCAGGTTAGCCTTCCTAATTATTTTTATGGGACACTGCAGTCTCGCTTTTGCGACCTCATCTTTACCATCTGGTCTACAGGTTGTTGCCCCCAACAGATGTATCAAGGCAACCACGTGTATCCCGGTTAGCCCTCAAGCAAAGAGGCTGAGCGGTAGCAGTGTGGGTAAATCGAAACTTTATCAACAGCGCTCGCCGCTGACTTTTTTTCAAAAAATGACCTTGGCTCCCAGGTCGACCCAGCCTGAGTTGGTACCGAGTGCAGCCCCAGGAAGTAAAGGCGGCCGACGTGGTGGAAAAGGGTCCTTTACTTTATTTATACCTCAAGCAAAGGCAGAACAGAACATTGGACATTTACTGCCATCCAAGCAGGCTTCTATAATACACGGTGCTCTGATAAAGGCAGAACAGAACATTGGACATTTACTGCCATCCAAGCAGGCTTCTATAATACACGGTGCTCTGATAAGGACTCACTCTGTACATGCCTGCTTAACTTCACTTTTGAATATTACCAAATCCCCCCCCCCCCCCCCACTTGCCAACGATTGACCCAAACAATCGCCCCCCACCCACCACCCCCCCCCCCCCCCCCCCCCCCCCCCCCCAAGACTTTGCTTCATCACCTCTCAGTAGGGTCAGTGTATCATATCCAAATTAAGGACAGGGCCCAACAGACTTTGACAACATATGTTGAAATTTTCATTATCATAAACATAAAGATGTGTTCTAATAACTTGGCATCTTAAAATTCTGAGCCTGAACTAAAACACTGCAGACTGTGTGCAACAAATACAGAAGCCACCTGGCCTGTTCCGACCTCAGTAAAAACAGAGTTGGTGTGGGAGATGTGGTCTGCATGACAGCTTTGATGAAGTCTACTGACCTCCTAATATAAGGTTTTCTGACAGAAGGATCAAAGAACAAGACTTCTGAATGTTGAGTCTTCCATCCATCATGGGATATGCCTTTAGAGATCGTGTAGGAAGCAGACCATAAGACCTTTATTACTTTCATGAAATTTGTTTTTTTTTCTTCCTCTGGACTGTTCTTATAGATACTGACAGTGTATTAATCAAATACCTTTCTTAAATGTTTTTGTATTCTAGACAAGGCATAAAAGGTCTACTGTGTTCGTAAATTGTTGCTGTGTTTGTTATTCGACATATGCTTCGTTAATATACATTTCTGTAACCTATGGTGCCATTTTCAATGGTTTGAAATGAATTCTGTCCGTATTCCATAATTGTGGATTTTCTTATGGTCACAACACTCCAGTGAGTAGTCTTTGGTACTCAACCCTTTAACCTATTTTATCATTCAGTAAGATCTTCACTTGATGGTAATTTGAACTTTATTTGTCATTAAGTAAGATCTTCACTTGATGGTAATTTGAACTTTATTTATCATTCAGTAAGATCTTCACTTGATGGTAATTTGAACTTTATTTGTCATTAAGTAAGATCTTCACTTGATGGTAATTTGAACTTTATTTGTCATTCAGTAAGATCTTTACTTGATGGTAATTTGAACTTTATTTGTCATTAAGTAAGATCTTCACTTGATGGTAATTTGAACTTTATTTGTCATTAAGTAAGATCTTCACTTGATGGTAATTTGAACTTTATTTGTCATTAAGTAAGATCTTCACTTGATGGTAATTAGAACTTTATTTGTCATTCAGTAAGATCTTCACTTGATGGTAATTTGAACTTTATTTGTCATTCAGTAAGATCTTCACTTGATGGTAATTTGAACTTTATTTGTCATTCAGTAAGATCTTCACTTGATGGTAATTTGAACTTTATTTGTCATTAAGCAAGATCTTCACTTGATGGTAATTTGAACTTAATTTGTCATTAAGTAAGATCTTCACTTGATGGTAATTTGAACTTTATTTGTCATTCAGTAAGATCTTCACTTGATGGTAATTTGAACTTTATTTGTCATTCAGTAAGATCTTCACTTGATGGTAATTTGAACTTTATTTGTCATTCAGTAAGATCTTCACTTGATGGTAATTTGAACTTTATTTGTCATTCAGTAAGATCTTCACTTGATGGTAATTTGAACTTTATTTGTCATTCAGTAAGATCTTTACCTGATGAACATTTTGGAGAAAAAAAATGTCTTGTTTTGTTCACTGGATGTAAACTCCGGAGGAAAGTCCTAATTGTTTGTCCATTTGGACTGGCTTTGTGCCAGGGTCTTAGTGTTGCATGTATATCCACTTTACTGGCTTATCTGTGTGTAGTTGGTTGTTTCTTGCAATTCAGGCAGATGCACTCCAGCTTTGAAGGAAGTCCCCAATTAGTCGACTCCTACGACATGCTTGTTGGTGAGGCAAAGGGTCTATTCTTGTTTTCTCCATAATGCAGCCCCAGAACCCACAATGAGGAAAACATAAACAACATGATACTAACGACAACAAAATTACCTGAAGACTGCGTATTAATCTGGTTGCAGATATCCTCATCACTATCATCTGAGCTGTCACTATGTACTTGCAATTTCTTTTTCAAGGGTGAACTGGCAATATATTTGAGATCTTCCGGGTCTGAAGGTTGATATAAAAAGATAATGAAGCATCTACATTTCTTAGCAGTATCTATTCTCCTACCCCAAGTATTTTAGATAGGTCTTCTTCTTCTTTTGTTCGCTTGAAACAGATTATCTATATCTGCAATCTTGTCTCTAGTATAAACTTCTCTATCTGTTGTAATTCACTCAGTGACCCATAAATTTTGGCTTGCATGGTTACTCTTGGCTAAAGGTTTTGTCTTGATATGTGTATTTAGGACAGTTTTGCAGGGCGAGTTCTGTTGGCTCAGGTGCCAATCCACGTGTGCACATGGCGGATCCCCCAGTGTTAAATTTTGTGTACATGTGACTGTGAAGTCGATTGCGTCCCGTTCTAAAGTGTACAATGACTTGCTTTGGTCTGTCCATAATATGGTAATTACTTTGTTGCCAGTTTTTAAGTAGTTTCACTTAAAGTAATTGTTTTTCTGGCCCAGTAAAATAAAAAATACCTTTAGATAGATAAAGTAGGGAGCCGTGGCAGCATAGTGGCTAAACGTTCACCAGTTGACCCAAAGGTCTTAGGTCCAGGATTATAAGATAAACAAGATAATGAGCAGACTGATCATTGGCTGCGACCACTCCTCTGCGCATTCAGTTACACTATGACAAAGCCGACTTGGTCAAGGCTCGCTGGAATTAGGCGCATAGTTAACAGAAAAGAATATTATTATCTCAAGAAACTGATTCAGTAGGGGATTAGTAGAGGTTCTGGATTATATTAAAAGTAGGCTTTTAATGAGGTTGCAACTGGTACTGTATGAGAACTCTTCATCCGCTAATGAGGAAGGTGACAGTGTATATAGTATGTGAGTGATTCTTGATTTATTCATTTACGTTTTTGGTAAGAACCTGCATTAAATTTGATTTTTGTTTTTAAACCAAGGTGACTCAGCTGTAAATGGGTACCACCAAGGTAATAATAGCCTGGGAAGTAAAGGCAGATAGCGCGATGTTGTACATCAGCCAATTGGTTTAGAAAAATGAGTCTAGGATCAATTGCCTGATGTGCCAGTAGCATAGGTAGGTAGGTGCTTTGCAACAACTGTCACATTCAACCAGCATCCCATAAGAGGGAGCTTTAGGTTAGAACTGTGACTAGGTTATGTCAGCCATATAAAATAGCTTAGTACTGACGCTACCAAGAGCCCTGAAAAGGACTCCGCAGTGTTGATGCGATCAAAGGAGACAGACTCAAATATACTGTACTGACTGACTAGCCGATTGGTGACCTGATCGCTGATGTGTGCCACTATTGTAAAAACACTATGGCTTATAGTCAAATCAATGGGGCTAAAGGCTTGGAGGGGTGGGGGGAGTAATGAAAACGTTTTAGGATTGTTTCCCACACCTACCTACGGCAGCTTGACATCGGTATCTAGCATTAGAATGGAGGTGGAGGCAGTACCTGCAGCTTTTGGGTGGTTAGAGAACAAGATGCATACACAGGTCAAAATTGTAACAGACTCTGAAAGCATGCTGAAAAAGGTGACGACAGGGATGCTTCAAGCAGAGTGGCAAGCTTCACTTGGAAGGTCATAATGCCAGCATGGTGGGTAATGAACAGGCAGACAGATTGGCTGGATCTGTACCACTGGGTGGTGAATTGATACATGAGAAGGCTGGTGTGGTCAAGGCCCTTTGGGAACAAGCAACAGAATCAGTAGAGAAACAATATTACTATTGCCTGGAGAGAATGAGGAACCTGGGTGTAACCAGAGGGTCTGGCCAGCTCACTACACTCAGAGCAAAGGAAATATGGACATATAACCAGACTGTGACTGGTACCATCAGTATTGGAACTCTGCGCTGGCTGCTGAAGATAAGGATGGAGCACACATGGGAATGCCTTGAGTGCTGTGATATGTGATGTCAATTCTTGGCTATCCTCTAAATAACGGGCACAAAATATGGCGGCCGCAAAACACCCTAATAGAGCCTCAGTCACATGTCAATTGCGCACTTCTGGCGTATTAATTTGCGGTTTTCTGGTGACTACCACCACCGCCAAGGGGCTAAAATAGATGGCTGGGACTCACGAGTAGCAGCTTCCGCATCTCCTGCAGCTTTGCTCATGAGTCCTAGCCATCTAGTTTAGCCCCAATCCACACTGCGTGAGCGGCTAGGGGGTGCTCTCGGCGGTGAAGGTAGTCGCCGGAAAACCGCAAATTAGGTCGCCGGAAGTGCACAACTGACACATGACTGAGGCCCTGTTATTGGCTGCCATCTTCTGTGCCCATTATTTGGTGGATAGCCCAATTCTTTACTGACTCAATATACCTGCGGCCTTTATAGGTTAGGTAGGTAGGTGCTAGCCTTTTTTGTGTTAGGTAACACTTTGGGGTAAATGGAGGAACGTCACCGTAGCTACGGAGTTGCATGCGGACGGCGACACAGGCGGACAGTCTCTTATAACTTATCAGCTGCCCGTACTGGTGGCAGAGCACTTATGGTTTATTATAAACAGTTCATATTTTGAACCAGCGTCATTGCACACTGTTATAAAGTTTATTAAACTTTATAACAGTGTGCAATGACGTTGGTTCAAAGTAAAGTACAGTTGTTGAGTGGTTCACATCTTCCGACTTTACCTTATATTTATATTTTTAAAAATTTTATTCGATAATCATACTGCGTCATACCGGCAATCTTTATCACAGACAATTTGTAGATTCCCACTAGTGAGTTTAAGAGATGAAAGGCATCCGACCGTCATAACTTAACTTAACTAACAAGTATTATATTATAATAACTTAACTTACTGATCTGAATATGTAGTTTCGCCGTCTTTAGGGGCAAAATATGCTGCACTATTTGATCCGACTCTACAACAGAAATACGTGTAGATTTTTTATTTGGAGTGTTCATGGTGGTAGTACTTTTGTAAATTGTCTTCCGCTGTCTTGCGCAATAATTAATCAAGTTATTAACAAATGCAGAAATAAAATATCTCCACCGGTTCGTGTCATACAACTTGTATTTAGCTCCAAATGGCGCGATTGTGACTAACTCTCCGCAATACGAAGTTTACTTTTTTGTTCGTTATCTTATTGTGAAGTTTTTATTCTTTTACAATTATTTGTAATTTAACATTAATAACAAATTTTTAAAAATACAAATAATGTTTATAAGTATTTTTTTTATTTTAGTAGGCAATAAGTATTCATTGTGTAGAAAAAAAAACCAGAAATTTGAAAATAAACAAAGTATCAAGTATTACTCCCCCAAAGGGAAAGTAGGATGCCGATAGATTTGTTGTGTTCTGCCGATAGATTGTTTGTGTACATTGACGTCTGTTTGTGGCTATACAAAAATTCATGTTTTCATTATGAGCGTCCTTCGACCTTTATCGTGTCTTCTTCCTGAAGGTAAGTTGCAAATTACGTGGTACTGATTCTCGACACCACAGCCGAAATTGTAGCTGGCTGGTTTATTGGCTATTGCATTTATCATCATATAATCTAATAATATTTAATAGATTATGATACGATACGAAGATTTCAAGATTTATTAATTATTTGGGCTCTCCTCTAAATAACGGTCGCTAGCTGGAAGGCGACGGCCGCTTAGTCGGAGTTCACTCCCCTGGCTGCAGTGCAATTACGGAGTGGAAAAGAGGGAACGAAACAAATGAGATAGTTACGTGTCATCGTAGGGTTAGGCTTAGGGTTTGGGGTAGGGTTAGGGTAACACATCAAGGAAACCACGCAAGCTTATCGCTCATTACAACATACAGATCCGCAGGTCTCACATCTACGGTCACTAACTCTTGCGTCGGAAGAGCGCGGTCGCTAATTTGAGTCGCAGCGCGTGGTCTACGAGAGTCTTGCGTCGCAAGAATGCAGTCACTAATGTCAGTCACAGCGCATGATCTAGCTCTAGCAGCCATGTCGACGTCACTTTGTTTTTTGATTCGTGACTTGTCCACTCCGTAGTTGCAGTGCAGCCAGGGGAGTGAACTCTGACTAAGCGGCCGTCGACGTCCAACTAGCGACCGTTATTAAAAGGAGAACCATTATTTGTAACTTTGTTTTTCAAAGTTTATGTGTTTTCTGACAAACTAAAGTGACCAGTTGTCTATGTCTCCACCATGAAGATTGGTTCGACGTGTTGACAAGTGTACAGTGTCAGCGTTAACATCTTTATGCTGCTCGCGTTGGTTCATTGCCTGCCTCTTGCTCGCCTGCCTTCAACCCCCCCCCCCCCCCCTATCCTTTGAAATCTCTGTGTGAGTTCCATGCCATATTGTGGGGAGAACAAGAATAGACCCCCTGCCTTCCCAACAAGCATGTTGTAAGAGTAGACTATTTGGAGGCTTCCTTCGAAGTCGGAGTGCATCTGCCTGAGAGGCAAGGAACCAGCAATCTGTGTACAATTAAGTCAAAACTGTTAAAACCATGCGCACTCAACACTCAGGTTCTGGAACAAGACTAAAGTCAGAGGTGAACAAACAACCAGAACTTTCCGCTGGAGTTTACAGCCAGTTATTGAAAAGAAGAAGATAATTTTGAAAGTACTGTCAAAGGTGGTTAGCTTTTTCTAGTGCTGGAAGCTTTTTGAATTTGAAGGAATGACCTAGCCATCCCTTGATTGCCTGTTTGACATGTTTGGTAAAGTACATAGTTATTTGCTTTCCCCAGTACCTGCCGTTTAAGACAAGTCTTGAATCTGAGATGCAGAGATTTGTGTTCGCTTCTGTATGCACACATGCATGTTTTTGGGTGAAGGAGAAAAGAGAGAAATAAAGATAGAATTGGAGAGTAATCTCAATGTTTTAAATAAAAGTTGTTAATATTTTTTTTTTCAGGTCCCAAAATTGCTTTAATTATTCTAAACCGCCCTGTCGATGTGCCACTGCTGAAAAAGTTATGGAAGAAAAGTGAGTAGACCTTGGATGTGTGTTGTTGTTTTTTTATGCTGATGAAGGCTTGGCTATCCAGGACATTCAAATTCATCTTTTACAGTTGTATATAATTTGCAAACTGGCTAGTTTTACCTCTCATTTAGGTTGCTGAAATTTTTTTTTTTAATGAACTGTCTGTAAATTTTGTTTTTTTAGTATCTTTATATTAGCTTTTATTGTCAGGAAGCAAATTTTTAGGCACAGAAAATGAATCACGAGCAGTCCGCTGTTTAATAATAAATAACGTGACAGCTGTAGTGATGTGATTCTGTAGCCTACTAGCATTCAACTCGCTTGACCCATGAAAAGGACTCACTTGTAATAGCAGTGATGCTGTAGATCAGGACTATTCAACTGGCTGCCAGCAGGTCAAATGTGGCTGCTGAGGCCTTGAAAGTGGCCAGCGGATCATTGCCAATTGTATTGTATTAATGATATTTCTGTGCTGGGCTCGGGGTCTCTGGCCAGTAACTACTCCCATTTTCAACATTATGGCCCCTGTGTAAACTTAGTTGAATAGCCCTGTTGTAGTTTCTTCTTCTTCAGCGATCTCTGGTCATGCGCATAATCCACTGTGGGTCATAAACTGGGATGTCTTTTCAAGGTCTCTTAGGTTTCCCCAAAGCTTAGTTGTCAGTTCTACTGGGTGTTGCCATATGTCGCTCCGCAGCTCCGCCAGGAGAGGACAGTCTTGCAGGACATGTTCTGGAGTCTGTTCAGCACGAAGACACTGGCAGAGAGCTGTTTGGCTCATACCTAATTTATATGAGTGTTTATTGAGTCTGCAGTGTCCAGTGCGTAAGCGAAAAACTGTGACTTGGTCTGTTCTGTTCAAGTGCCTCAGAAAATCTTTTCCGTAGTCATAACCAGTGTTGTTTTTTCCAGTCTGTTTCTGATTTTCTCTTAATGAGAGTTTTGACTTCTGGAAAAGATAGTGGCTGGTAGGTCTGTAGTTTGTTACTGCCTTCCTTGGCTAAAGCATCTGCGCTTTCATTGCCTTTGATGCCACAGTGAGACGGAATCCACTGCAAGTGAATTTCTGCCTTATTTGACAACATAGCAAGTTCCTGTGTTATACTTTGTAGTGTGCTGTCGGTAGGTTTGGACTCAAGGGCCTGTACAGCTGACAGTGAGTCAGTGAGAAAAACTATCCTGCCTGCGGTGATTTGCAGATTGTTCATATACTGTGCTGCCATCAATAGAGCTGAGAGTTCTGCCTTGTAGTTAGAGCAAGTACGTCCGGTGGGGGCTGCTAGGGACACAGTAGTGGCATCTGGGTGTTTTATGTAGACACCTGCCCCACCATTCGTAGTTGCTTCTTTTGCTGATCCATCCGTGTAGATTCTTGTCCAGCTGTCCTGTGGGAACATGTTGTTGAGGTGTTCTATTGTGAGTGCTTTCTTCACTAAAGCGGGCTCAGCATCTTTGTTTCCCAGGTTCGGGATGGATGTTGACACATTGAGTGTCAATAATTTGGAGTCCCAGAGATCGAAAGATAGCTCTTCAGGTGTACATTGTTGGTTAAGTAGTGAAGAGAATGACTTTCCAAATTCCCTTCGTTAGATGGTTTAGGCTTTTGCGCTTTATTCTGTGTTTTTTTTGTCCTGGCTGCCAATTTTTCGTGTAATGGGTGGTTTTAAACATTCTCTTCATTTTTTCAGCATGTAGAATTGCTTTTGTCCTTCTTCTTTCTTCTAAGGGGATGATGTTGGCTGCCTTTTCCATTTCTACAATAGGTGTAGATTTTATGGCTCCCAGAATTGTACGCAGACTTCTATTTTGCGTTTTGTCTAGTATCTGTTTATTGGAATGGGCTGCTGTTATCCATGACGATGATGCGTATTCGAGAGTTGGTCTGACTGTGCCGGTGTATACCTGCTTCAAGATACAACTGTCTGCTCCCCAAGTGGTGCCTGCCAATTTCTTCATCACACCTTGTTTTCTCATGGCTTTTTTGTTAGTTTCTAGTATGTGATGTTTCCATGTCAGACGACTGTCAAGCTTGACTCCCAGGAAGGTTGGAGTATTGGAGCGTGGAACAGCATCATTGTTGAATTTTAATGTAAACTTTTCCTCCTTTGTAGACAATGAGAAGAGTGTTGCTACAGTTTTGTTCCTGTTTACTTCGAGGCCCCATTTGTTGGCCCAGTTTATGACACTATTCACACTTTCCTGGAGTTTTGATATAGCAGGTCCAATGAGAGGTGTACCACACAGCTAGGTCATCTGCATGAAGAGAATGTGATACATGTCTGGGTAAAGTTTGAGGTAGGTCGTTGATGTAAATCAGGAACAGGACTGGAGACAGTACACTACCCTGTGGTACTCCTGCTCTCAGCTTGAATCTGGGACTATGTGCTTCACCTAGTTTCACAGATGCCCGCCTGTGTGATAGGAAGTCTTGTATCCAGTAGTACATTCTGCCTCTTATTCCACTATGTAAGAGCTTTAGCATCAAGCCATCCTTCCATACTTTGTCAAAGGCCTTGGACATATCAAAAAAGACTGTGAGGGTTTTCTTCTTTTCCTGGAAGCCATTTTCTATGTCCTGTGTAAGGTATGCTACCTGGTCATCAGTGCTTCTGTGCTGTCGGTAGCCTGTCTGAGCGGGATCCAGTTTGTGATTGGTTTCTAGGAACCACTGAAGTCTGGTGGCTAGCACTCTCTCCATCAGTTTTGCGGGGCAGCTTAGCAGACTGACAGGCCTGTAGCTCTGAGGGTCCTTCTTGTCCTTGCCACTTTTGAGGATAGGGTGGATTATAGCATTTTTCCAGATATCTGGGACTCTGCCTAGTTTCCAGCTATAGTTGTATATCTGGAGTAAGATGTTTTGTGCTACTGGACCCATATGTTTGAGCATGTCGTTTGAAATGTTGTAGTTTAATTAGTGCCAAATTTAGGCATCAGCTAAGCTACAGCTTGGGGATTGACAACCTGCAGGGGACAACACAAATTCCGATTGTAATTTTCTTTTAATATAATTTAAAAGGAATTTTTTTTAAAATATGTTTTACACCCACCCCATAACATTTATAATTAATAAAAAGTAAAGGTCTCTTTTCCACGCCTTTAGGCGTATAGGGCTAGACCTATATTTTTATAGACCAATCGGCTCAAGATGGGTGATATGGTCAGCATCACGCCGACCGCCTTTACTTCCTAGGACTTGACTCAGGACCCGCTTAAGGCTGGGTCGACCTGGGAGTCAAGGTCATTTTTGAAAAAAGTCCAGTTTCACCAGGGAGCGAACCCACAGCCTTCCGATCCTCACACGAGCATCTAGCCGCTACACCTTGGTGACTTCCCATAAAATGTTTAATTTATTAATATTATTTTGGAAATGTTATTCAAGCTTTTATTAATTCTTACTGGTTGAGATTGGCTTTGAAGATTAATTTTAAATGCTAGGCACCTCGGGCTTTGTGTAGCTTAGCACTTTAGCAAGTCTAAATCCGACCTGAGATAAGTTTTTCCAGTTGGTGGTCGGCGGAACAAAATTAAAGTGGTCTGGAATATAAAATTCACAAAGAAAAAATATCTTCTTTAAAATGCAATTCTTTGTGCAATTCTGTTATTTATAAAGGATAACAAGCTCTTCAGTATAACTGATAAAAAAGGATGGCGTCCATGGCAGACCTTCAGAAATAAGAGAGGTCCACAGTCTGAGCTGCTTGGGAACCAGTGGTGTAGGTTTCCTCTCAACCTGGTACAGAGACTTTACTGTCGGTGGCATCTTCAAGCCTTTTTCTTTGTTAGAATCTTTAGGCGTGGGTTTTCCTTTACTGTGTTATTCTCCTGTGTATTCAATTAGGTTTCACCCTTTTTTTTCCCTTTAATATATTATATCTGTTTGTTGTGTTTGCTGTTATTTCCTGTTCTTTTTCTTTGAGTTCACTAGTTCTGTTTGTTTGTCCACTTTGTTCGCCCACTTTGTTCATCCACTTTGTTTGTGGACGTGTGCCTTGTTCCAGAACCTGAGTTTTGCATGTACATCCATTTTACCAGTCTGGCTTACTTGTGCACAGACTGTTGGCTCCTTGCCCCCCAGGCAGATACTCTCGGAGTTCACAGGAAACCGCCCTAGTTAGTGGCCTTTAATGATTACTGAGTGGGTCTGTTCTTTTTTTCTCTCTCAAAATGAGGACCCAAAACACACACAGGGAATTTCCCATTTATTATGTAAAACATAATTGGTTAAAGTTACTAAAGCATCTACAGCTAACAGTTTTTTTGTTTATTTTTTTTTTAAATTTGGCAACAGCTATTATCCTTATTCATGAAATAAAGCACTGACTGTATTAGATTTCCTTATTATCACTTTCATTTTTTTTTTTTTTTTTTCAAGTAACAGTTGTAGATATTTTCTATTAGGCCTTTTCACAGCAGTGACGGACGGGGCGGTCAACCAGCTAGAGTTCAGTCTTGGAGACCAGAAAGAGAAATATATACCAAACATCATCACGGGAGACTTTGACTCTGCAGAACCTGCTCTCCTAGACTATTACAAGAACAAGGTAGTTTTTACAATTATTGTCTATTGTTTGTCATGGACATCGGGGAGGAAGGCAAGAGGAAGGCCAAGAAAGAAGTGGATAAATGGTGTAGCTGAATAATGCAAAAAGATGAACAGATCCATCCCCCAAGAAGCGCAAGACAAATACGGAAAACCACAACACTGGGCTACAACCTGGTATCAGCGAGACTATAAAAAAGAAGAAGAAGATTATTTATCACGGTGTATACAGTGGGATTACAGCAAAAATTGTCAGATCTTGGTCAGATATGACTGAGCCACCATACAACAGTAGTCAGAACGGCCTGTTTTCTGTTAATGCCAAATGTTGGGTGGCGTACACAAAATCTGACATCCCGTATTTAGGTCTCTGAACTGATTAACCTACATAAAATTAACTTCTGTGAAATGAGATGCCTGGGAAAAGCCACCAAATTTAATCATCTAGGACAAAATTAGGTATGATATTATCAGACAGACTGTGTGAACAACACCATGCAGCCAATTCATTGAGAAACAGAAGATAAACGATTTGTTCATCTAGTAATAATGAAACCAGAACAGATATCAATGCAAGTGCTACACATTACAAGGATCTGATGTGAAAGCAAGAGAACGCCCTGGGAGAAGACAGACTGATGACATTAAAGAGCTTCTACATCAACAGGGAATGACAGTAGCCATTGCTGCTCATCTAGCAATGGATTGCAAACTGTTCCTTCCCACAGTGATTAATGGCAGAAGTGGAAAATGATGATGATGATGACTGACTGACCAAATTGTGATAACAAAGGGAAATGGAGCATATTGATCAGATGTGTCAACATCATCTTGCGCCTGACTTAAAGGTAGTAGATTTTCTTGAAACCTGGTAGATTTTCTTTAAATCTATTGGCTTTTTATCATTTTATCTTATGCAATCATTGCTGCCACTTGAAGGAAACAATTAACCACCTTCCTGTTAGTTATCCATGTCAACAACTTTTATAGAATAATCCCTTTCAAGTTAGCTGTTTCAGAAATGTCAAGTATATGATATAATTACCTTCACTTTCATTATTTCAGGATCATCAAGTGTACTATACCCACTCTACAGGTTACTTCATTAATCGCCAGGTGCCCCAACTGTTATACAGTTAAACAGCGTTTTGCAGATTTGTGCCTGTTTGCTTCTCACCCATGAGATGTTTATCCTGCAGTGCTTCTTCTTCTTAACGGTCACCGGCTGTAAACTCTGGCAGAATGCACTTCCAGACTTCAGTTTTGTTCCAGAACTTGACTTTTGTGTGCACATTCATTTTACAGATATGGCTTATTTGTATGCAGACTTTTGGTTCCTTGCCTCTCAGGCAGATGCAGTCCACCTTAAGGAAACCCCTGATTAGTGGACTCTCTTGAAGTGTTTGTTAGGGAGGTAGTGGGTCTGTTTATTTGTGCCGCCCCAGAACTCAAACATGTACTAGAGAATGCAATTCTGGAGTGACAAAATTAAGAAAAGATAGTATGTATAGTAATTAGCTATATAATGCTAGCTTTTCCAGTAATGTCAAGTTTATATAGCAGTAAACATTGCAATGTTATATTTAGAGATAAATATTTATTAAACATAAAATGACTTGTATCAACAGTTGCTGACATGTCAAATCTGTATACTAATGAGATTTATTTGAACTTTTCTAAGAATGTCTGGTGTGTAGAATGAGATTTATTTTAGATATTTTAAAAATGTTAACTATGTAGAATAATTGGATTTATTTTAGCTTTTCTAAGAATGTAAGCTTAACCCTCTTAGCACGGACGGGCCGATTATCGGTCGGCGGATGTCTGGCCAAAAACACAGAACGCCCGATCATCGGCCCAATCGTGTTTCGCCTCGAACCGCTAAGAAATCTATTTTGAAACACTGAAAGTGATTCATTTATATTAACTGCGGTATCAGCTTTACACATGGCGACTTTGGAGTGTTTGGTATCGAAGTGAAAATTGTTGTTGAATTTTTTAGATAGTGACCTGAACCGCTAAAAGTATGTCTGACTCATATGTTTCTGCCCCTAAACTTTATGTTGATAAAACATTTGAATCAAGTGATGACACTAATTCTGTTGATACTGATGCAGGATTTAGTGTTAGTAGTAATAGTGGGAATCAGATGGGGATGCTGTTGTGTTCAGTCACAGCCCAACCATGGCTCAGGGTATATCCACCCGAAGGTGTTGACACTCAGGCACATCCATTTCTTGTGCTGGCTGATAGTGAAAAACACATGTCACCTAAAGATATTATTGCTGTTTCATATATATGTACCTGTTTTTGACTATTGAATTGCTTACAACATTTGCAAAAAGGCCAAAGATCAATAAAAAGATTTCAAATAAAAAAAATTTTTGTTTTTAGTTTTATGTTTCAAGCATTGAAGTTGAAAATTCAAATTCAAATTTTCAATTTTTAGATATGCAAATGAGATAATTTGCATATACATCAATTAATTTTAACGATATTGTGAAAATCATGAACTTCAATCTATATCCTTCAAATAGATATATTATTTCATGGGGGTCAGAATAACAGAAATCTGTCAAAAAAATTAAATAAAGTAATAACCAAATTCACTGAAAAAATGCTCCGAGTTTTTGGCTAGACCTCTGAAAAACTTCCCGTGCTAAAAGGGTTAATAGAGTAATGAGATTTATATTAGCAATTTTAAGAATGTCGGCATTGTAGAATAGTACGTTTTGTGTCAGTAGGGACACTAAAAGTAACTTTTTTTTTTTTTTTTTGAGGCAGGCTGTAAATATTATCCCGACACCTGATCAGGATGAGACTGACTTTACCAAATGTGTGAGGCTTGTTTATGATCATATTGATCAGACTGCAGTAAGTTAACTGTTACTTTCACTTATATCATTGCTCTCTTACAAATCTCAATCTCCTTTTAGCAAACGGTAAAGGGCTGTGATTATGTGTTGTGATATCTTTTGTTAGTCTTAAATCTTAGTCAAAGTTTCAGCTTCACCGCAATCGGGTTTCCCCAGACTTGCTCCGTTCATGTGCCAGTGAAAATCACATGAAATGTCCCTCACTGTCTCATCTGAAAAACTGGTGAACAAACTAGTCCCTACACAATCCAGAAATATGTGCACACAGTAAATGCATATGACAGTTGCTAGAGATGCCAAAGCCAACAGTCGCCACCAGAAATGCAGCTTGTCACTAATGGAAGTAGTCCTTTGTTAGAAAGATATGAATCTACCCTCTGAGCAATATTGCAGTGAATAACTTAGCATTAGTTTGTTACTTGTGATAGACATTCTCAACACCATTCTCAGAATGCACATCAGTCTTCCATGTATTCACCATTTGCATTTCTCATTATAGATCATCTGTGGCTTAGGCGTTGCAAATGCACTTCGTAATTCTGAGGTACCCAGTTCGATTTCAGCTGCAGGAAGTTTGTCAGCAGACCACTTTGTGTTGCTTGCAACAGCAGTATTGAGAGCTGACCATTTAGAGAGCTATGGCAAACTGCTAAACGTAAAATTAGCTATTACCCCCCCCCCCCCCCCCCCCCCCCCCCCCCCCCCCCCCCCAAAAAAAAACAGCCAACAAATTCTAAGGCTGGTTCTGAAATGTCATATAAAGGATATGCAACAAACTTAATCATCGATGAGACATTTCCCATTTACATCCATACAATCTGTTTTCACATTCGCATCACCCTTCTCACAATGCGCAACATAACTGCCTACAGTTCCCTCACCATTTTCATTTCTTATTATCGCTCCATTATCTGTTCACATCCATATAGAGGAAAAGATCACACATACACGCACGCGTGCACACACTCACACACTCTCACTCTCTTTCAGTATGTGGATTTTTATTTATGTGATGTTTATATTATTATGGTGCTTCTACTGTCAAGGTGTTTCTACAGTCGGGATGTTTCTGTTTTTGTTAATCTTCTATTTTTGTGATGTTTCTATTTCTGTGAATGTAAGTTGAAAGGTAGAGGACCTTTTTCCACACTTTCTGGCATATTGGGCATGTAGGGCTAGACCTATATTTTATAGACTTATGAGCACTTGCTGGGTGATCTAGTCAGCATCAAGCTGACATTTAAGGATGTGTCCACTTGTTTCTTTTTCTGCTGTGTTACTATTTCGGTAATGTTTCTGTTTTTGTGATGTGTCTTTTTTCATGACGGTTTCTCTTGTCATTATTTTTCTTTGTCATTATCTTTCTATTGTCATTATCTTTCTGTTGTCATTATCTTTCTGTTGTCATTATCTTTCTATTGTCATTATCTTTCTATTGTCATTATTTTTCTATTATCATGATGTTTTTCATTTACAGATCATTTAATTTAATCTATCTGTTATATTTGAAGACTGACCACATTGTGGCTATTGGAGCATTCGGAGGACGCATGGATCATTGTTTGGCCAACATCAACACATTGTACACAGCCCTGACACTGTCAAAAGCCCCGTTATATCTGTTTTCTGATAATTCCATGGCCTGTCTGTTGGACAAGGTAATATACATGTGGTTTCTTGTGTGCATTTCATCCCGGCATTATCACTGATCTTCATGTCGTTATGTTCCTTGTAAATCAGTGAGCTGCAACACTTTCTTTGTATCAACATTTAAATGTTATAGACTCTGCTACTCCTTTGTAAGGCTTTTTTTCCCTAGAAAGAAGATGCCAGTACTCACTACAGCGTCTAAAAAGGTGTGATACTCACCATACATTGCCTGCTACAGTAGTTATTGAAAAATCTACCTAAACAAAACATGCTAGTAATGGGTATTGTTGTTTTCTATCAGGAAAAAAGCGTGGATTCTTTGCCGCACCAGACATATGGTGCAATGAGTTAGGTGTGAGTTATGAGTTAGATTATCTTCACAGCACTCTGGACACATCCATAGGCGCTCAGATTCCCCTCTCAACATATTCATCAGTGTCACACAGTTAATAGTGCCAGTCCTGTGTTGGTTAACAAGACTTTGTGTGCAAATGGTGCAAGACCAGTGTTTCTATCAACCAATTGGCACTGGGTGGGTTACGTGGTCCACATCATGCTGGCCACCTTTATTTCCCAGAATATTTCCTATATGTGTTTTAGCCCTAGGTCATTATCAGAATTTACTCCAGAGCCGAGGTTGAACCCAAGACCTTTGAGTCAACAGGCAAACATCAGGTGACCTAACTATCACTGCTTGTTATTTTCTTTAGCTAATCATGTTATTTCCTCACAACCTTTCTTCTTTGGTAGTTTGCCTGGTTGTCCTGAATCTCCCTTCTGATATGGGTTCCTGGACCCTGATTCGGGGGGAGAAAGAGAGAAAGAATAGACCCACTGCCCCCACCCACAACAAGAGTGTTGTAAAAGGCAACTAATTAGGGTTGTTTTTTTTCACAGTCAGTACATTTGTCTAAGAGCTGAGGAAACAAGTCTGCATACAAATAAGCCAGATCTGTAAAATGGATGTACATACAACACTAATTTTCTGGAACAAGATCAGAGTCCAAAAGCTAACCAGTGACCAGATCTCGGAGTCACTGTAGACATGTTTTTACACTCACATAGATGTGGCCCAGTTACCTATCTGCTGCATATGTGTTTGCCCATATCCTGTATGGAATTTAATGTTGTTTTGGTCAGTAAATGAAACCAGTGTAAAATGGGTTTTTAATCTAAAATAAATGTTTTAATTTTTTTTTTTTTGGGAGGGGGGGGGGGGTTTCCCTAATTACAAGTTATTGGCAATAATTTATTTTCTAGGTCACCAGGGTAGCTGGGCTAAGGTCAGAAGTGGCAGATGATGATGATAGGTCATTAAGTGGGTGAGAAAATAATAAACCAAACCCCGGATAGTTGAAATTTTAAATCCTGGGTTTATTTTCAGAGTTTACATGTGAAGTGATTGTGTTCTTTCTGCAGGGTGAACACACACTGCATTGTGACACAGGACTGGAAGGTGACTGGGTTGGGTTGGTGCCAGTGGGACAGCCAGCCAACCATGTGACAACCACTGGGTTGAAGTATAACCTTAGTAAGTTTCACTGTGCCGTGCTTTGTCACAAATATTGAAATAAGTTAACTCATGAAGGGAACTGGTAATCCATATAAGATAAAGAGAATCCGCATTTATGGGCATGGTATTCATAAAGGGAGGAGACTTAAGTATGTCATGGCAAACAAAAACTGACTAGAAATATATCTTCTTCTGAGTGGTCCCTGGTCATTTACTTTAGCCACTGTTGGCCATAAACTGGGTTCTCAGGCCTACTGGGTGTGCCCACATGTTGCTTCTCATCTCCTCCAGGAGACAGGAGAGTCTTGCAAGCTCTAAGACACTAGTAGATAGCTGTTTGTCTGAGATCTGAATTATGTGAGGTTTTTTTTTTTAAAGTGCAGTGCCCAATGCGGAGGTAAACATAGGGACTCAGCCATTTTTGATCACATGATTAAGGAAATCATTTTGGTGGTTATAACCAGGGTTCGCCATCTGGTCGTAAAAGTCGACTAATTAGGGATGTTTCCTTCAAAGTTGGAGGGTGCATTTCTTAGAAGCAAGGAACAAACAGTCTGCATACAAAGAGGTGAAATATGTGAAATGGGTATGCATATGAAACTCAAGTTCTGAATTCGAATTACCTGAACTTTCTACCAGAGTTTACAACCTGTGAACACAATGAAGAAGATATTTAGCTTACACAAAGAGCTAGGGTAGTATCTGTTATTTTTCCCCCCAAAAAAACAGGGACCCAGAACCCACAAAGGGAGTAAGGTAAGTATGAATTTTTGTATATGTTCGTGCATTAAACATTTGTCTTCCCTGCATGCTAAGACTTGACGGCCAATCTGTTCCTCAGCCAATCACAGAATGGCGTTTGGTGAGTTGATCAGTACATCAAATTCCCTTGCTGACAAGACTGTGAAGGTGACCACAGACCACCCTTTGCTGTGGATTATGGGATATAATCTACCTAAAGAAGTAGCACTGGACAAGCCTCTTCACATAATGGGATAATACGAGTCAAGTCAGTGTGAGGTCATCTAGTGGAACAAATACCCACACATTCTGTATCCTTACCTCTCTTCTGCTGTTTCTCTCACTATGTTTTTCTCAGTCTTATTCTCTTACTGTCTCTCTCTATATTTCACACTACTTCTCTTTATCTACCCTACCTCTTATTTACTCTAGAAACATTATTATTGTGTCTTACACTCTTATTAACTTTGTCTATATTTATATCTGTCTTTTAACCTTTTTTCTCTTCTTGTCTTTCTTTCAGTTTCTCCCTCTCTCTCACATTGACTGGAGCTCTGGTTTATTTATTATTGATACAAAAGTATCACATGTATTTTCCAGAACAATTCATTGTGGCCTATATCTGCATATTTTTACAGCTATATGCCACATGATAGCATATTTACTTTTAATTTCCAGGCACGGTGTATTGAGAGAATTGTCCGCCTTACAAAGGCTGAGTCAAAATAAACAGTACACATTGTATAGAAGAACACAAATTAGATAAATGGAATACGAAAGTAACAAATATAAGATAAATTACATATTTTTTGTAATAGAATTTAGACTAGATATGTATAGAGCAGAGTCAGGAGCACACACAAGATACTGAAGTGCTTTGTACTAGAAAAATACTATAGGAATGCAGCATCTACACATAGTTACATATCCTTTACAGCGAAATCTGGCCCCTACAGGCCTAGCAAGTGGCCAGAAGATGATTGCCAAATTGTATTTATCAATGCCATTTCTGTGCTAAGGCTCTAGCAATCCCCATTTCCAACATTTTGGTCCCCGTGTCAGCTTAGATGAATATCTCTGCTTTGCCGGGATGTTGCAAGTCAGTGACAGCACGTATTGGCTGTTTATAATTTTACTAAACAAGTTTACATTCAGTAATTTACTATTGCATTCTGAATGGTTTATACCACTTTCAGACTCAACACAGAGGTCTGTTGCCTAATCACCGGCAGTAAATCACATCTGGTGTGTCGGAGTTATGAAAGTGTTCATAACTACTAAACCACATAACACAAGCCAAATAAAAGTAAAAAAGTAAAGGACCCTTTTCCACGCTTTTAGGTGTATCGGGCATATAGGGCTAGACCTTTATTTTATAGACCAACGGCACAAGATGGGTGATGTGGTCAGCATCACACTGGCCGAATAAATAGTAGCATTTTAAATGACTACATAAGGATTACACGACAGTTAGAGTTTATGAACTACAACAGTAAATACTATATTTGTTTTAAACGTGATATATTTGAATGTTTGACACAAAATATATTTCTACACCATATATGTCCTTTGAGTGGCTCAGTTAATAAATCTAGCTCCACGTAATATTGGGTATGGGATCTACAGCAAAGGATTTGTGATTCGAGATGATATAACAGTCATAGCCTTTGTCAGGGGGTACTATAGCTTGCTGTCATGTTGCCTTTTTGTCTTGTAGAAATCTTGTCAGTGCTTTTCTATTTTAGAATCCATGGACTACATTAATCTAGTAATTTTTTTTTTTTTTTTTTGGTTGCTAACATATTTTTCAATGCAAATAATTGCTTGATGCCTTGTAATCTTATAACTGTTCTACAAACATGTGGGGGGGGGGGGGTGTCTCATTATGTGGATTATGGTAGGTAGGTGCATTGCTGGGGAAAAAAAGCGTAGCATTTAACCAGCATCCCTGAAGGATGAGCTTTAGGTTATAATTGTGACTAGGTTATGTGCGCAATATAAAATGGCGAAGCATTACATGCCGCCAAAAATGACTCCTGCAGTGCTGATGTGATCAGAGGAGACAGACCCAAATACTGTCCTCACCGTCGGCGAAGTTGTCTACCGGAGAGCCAATGGGCCACCCAGATGCCGAGTGTCGTTTCAGATTATGGTGTACCTGCTCAGAACATCATGTGCTCAATCACTAGCCTATTGTATCCACGGATTACCCAGCTGCCTTAACAAAATGTATGGCTAGCAATATTTGGGAAAAGGATCCTTTAGTTTTACACAGAATCTTTTTTTTTTAATTAGGCTTTTATTAAGTTTGGTTTTGTTTGTTTCGTTTATGATGTACTGACTTTGTTTCTCATCTTTAGTCAGTCTCTATTACTTTTTATATTTAATGTATCCTTGCTTAAATTTAGTCTTTTTCTTCCCTCTTTCTTTATTTTGTCTTTTTAACTGTCTTTGCTGTTTGTGTTTGTTAGAGCAATGTAGGAAAGAAAGTGACAGGAGCGGTTGAGCTTGATGATTTAGGGTACTTGGCTAATGCAGTCGTCATGGACTGCAGGTTGAGATTTTATTTTTGCCCCCAGAAAATCATCATCACCTTATTGAGAATTTGAAACTCTGTCACTCGAACGGGAGCTTAACATTCTTAACCGCTTCCCCTGTCTTTTTTAACTCTTATTCTGAGTAGTGTCTTGTATCACTGGAAATGTTACACTGTCAGTGGAATTATGCTAGCCGAGTCGTGAGAGCTGGTTTTACTTTTTCTAATTTAAGGATACAAATTTTATACATATGTACATTGTTTAGCCAGATTTTTAAAACCTGTGTACAGTTTCAATGGAATATTTTGAAAAGAAGTTTTTAAGGCATTAAACATTCAGTTTAGGCTTTTTTCAATTTGTACAAAAAATTTAACTGCTGATGTTTTTATTCACTAATTTGTGGCCACATCACAAGAAGAGAAAAGTTGGTAGCTGTAATAAATGTAAAGATTTATGAAAAGAGAAATAGAGGAAAGCATTAAGAATGAATTGTTGATGACTTTTGTCATGGAACAGAAAGATGTCAACACGCAAATTGATAAATGATGTTAGAAATTCCAAGATGTGGAGAAGCAGGTTTGTCTTGCACTTGATGATGGTGATAATGAAAGAAGGTACAGATAATTCCATAAAGTTTGCATGGCAACGCTATGTCATACAAGGTGAACACCAAAAAAAAGAGAGGGACATAGAACACAGTGTAAATGGAGCAAGATGGATTGATAACATCAGACAAACTCTAAAACCGTACGAGGTGTCTATGGTCAAGGCGCCCAGAAGAGCAAGACACTTAATCTTATGTCTTCTTCAACACTTGAAGCTGTAAAAGAAGAAAAAGTTCTATAGCAGACACTGCTTTTGGGATGTAAAGTACTATCCCCTCACACATTCTAGGGCACAATCCTGAAGACTCAGTCAACCTTCTCACACGAAAGAAGTAGACCTTTATATTTAGATTGCGTACTGGACACGGCAGCCATATGTACCCGTACAAGAAATTCAAGATTGGGGGTTCAGAACTTTGACCGTGTGGAAAGGCACCACAGAATACTGAACATATGCCACAGGCATGCTCTCTGCATGCAGTAGGAAGATCCCAGGGTTGGCCAGTTGGCATTCTAATGAAAACCAATCTGTATTGATAAGAGGTGGACATGTGTGGCACCAGACTTCATAAAGGCCTGTGGACTTCTTATCCGAAAACTGCTAGCAGGGAAAAGAAACAGAAAAAAGTGTGCTCTCTTAATATCCTACCCCACACAGGGGAAATCCACAGGTCATGGGACAGTTTAATATTTCAGGAGTTTCAGGGGGTGGTAGATAGGCTGCACTCTCTGGTGGGACACAGGTTGGTTGGGGTTCGGGGTTCTAGATGTTTTGTGGTCGTTAAAAGCATCAGAAAGCCAGGAAATCCAATCTTACCACCCTCTAAAATGTTTTATTGTGCTGTGATGTCATCTGGGGTAGGATATTACGAAGGAACCGAAAAAAAGATATGTTTTAAGTGTTATCTGTAGGGGGCCCGTCCAGGGCAGCTTGGTCGAACCCCAAGAAAAGGATCGAGCATGGGTATTCCTCACCATCCTAGGAGGCTTTCGTAAATGCAGATTCAGTGCATGCCATTCTGGTACTGGGCTTATCCAAGTAATTATCAAGTCCTGGGCATAACTGTGTAACATCACATTCTTATGTCGAGCCTTCCACTCACTTGGTAACCATTCCAAATGGGTGGTCAACCCCAAAACTTTGCTGATTGAAAGAGTTCTTGCCACTTCTGGATTTGAACTGGAACCACTTTCCTACCAAATAAGTACACTAATTGCTATGCCACTAAGGGTCAAACAGTACCTTCAAAATATCAGTATATTTTTAAAAAATATTCTGTATACAGATTTTGTTTATTATATTCAAACAGTTTTTATACATGTGCCTTATTCATGTTACATTACGATCAATATATATGTATTCAGTGTTGTGTCTGATCAAATGAAAATGTACATATAATTTATCAGATTGCTTACAGTAAAACTGTGATAAACTTTGTTATGTGTCTTATTAATTATCATTTATTTTGTTCTGTTATTATCATAATGATGATGAGGAGGTCTCTGGGGCATCTATAAAGCCCTCATGATCATATATATGGTCTTGCAATGCCATTGCACCTAGTTATATTTTTGAATAAACGTGGTCGGGTAATTTATAATTTGACAAGTCTCTATATTATAAATATACACAAATAATTGTATGAGGTTATAAAAATGCAAATAACCCCTTGCAGAAAAAAGTTTGCTCGCAGACAGTAAGTGAAGGGTCAATTTCAGCCATAAAGTGCTAGACGTGTGTTTTTATTGACCAGTGGGCACTCAACATCACACCGACCACCTTTACTTCTCAGGACATTACCTAGTACCTATTTTAGACTGTGTTGCCCTGGAAGCCAAGGTCATTTTAAACAAGGGAAAAAAAATCAGCAGCAAAACTAGGTAATAAATCTGCAGGTGAGCTTCCGCTCTACAATGGAGAGTCCAGTCAGAATTCATTATTTTTGTTCTTAGCCTCTACAGGATAAAAGTTCCAGTTGTTCACCCACCTCTCAACTTTAAGTCTTGTTCCAGAACTTGAGTTTTGCATGCACATCTGCTTTACAGACATGACTTATTTGAAAGCAGACTGTTGGTTGTCCACCGTGTGGGTTCTGGGCCCCCATTGTGGGGAAAACAAGAATAGACCCACTGCCTCCCCAAAAGCATGTCGTAAGAGTCGACTAATTTGGGAGCTTCCTTTGAAGTCGGAGTGCATCTGCCGGAGAGGCAAGGAACCAACAGTCTGTATTCAAGAGAATGAGATCTGTAAAACTGATGCACACGCAACACTCAGGTTCTGGAGCAGGACTGCAGTTCAGTAGTGGACGAGCAACCAGAACTTTCCGCCAGAGTTTACAGCTGGTGAACGCCAAGAAGAAGACTGTTGGTTCCTTGTCTTCGAGGCATGTGCACTCTGACTTTGAAGGAAGTGCCCCTAATTAGTCGTTCCTATGACATGCTTGTTGGGGGCATGGTCTCTCTATCCCCCCCCCCCTTTTTTTTTCCCCCACAATGGGGTCACAAAAACCCTAACAGAGAGAATTTATAACAACACTAAAAACAAAGTTAACTCAAGAGCAAATCCAAACAATGGTTTATTACACTTTCAAACTGTACACAAACATAGATCATTGTCATCAGAGATGATGGAAGATGGTACTTTTGATGAACAAATGCATGTCAATGATGAACATTGAGACAAGCAATTCTGCTATTGCTATCTCAGATCTGTTGATTGTTAACCACCAAGCAATGGATCGCAAACTGTTCCTCCCCACGACTCTTAACAACAAAAGTAAACACTGATGATGACGATGAGGGTGATTCTTGCCTGGCATGACGATCTACATTTCTCCACATTCAGTTATCGTGACTGGAATTTTTGGTTTGTTGTTGGGACCAACTGGCACATTCTCTATCTTTCGCAGAACAAGATGGCCATCAATGATTTTACCTGGGAACAGCCAAAGATAGGTTATTTTCGACAATTTTGTATTGGCACGTGTGTGTTCTGATATAATACCAGCTCATCTATAGGGAATGCCAGAATGGACTGGCAAGAGGTGTTTTATATACAGCAAACTTTATAATAAAATGTTCACATCTTTCCTGACGCCAGTGTGATACTGTGCTAGAGGTGTTTTATATACAGCAAACTCTATAATGTTCATCTTTCCAGATGACAGTGTGATACTGTGCTTTACTGAGGCAAGGGAATCACAGAAGTTGTTGAATGTAGACTTAAGAATCGACATCATAGCACTTGGGACACTCCCATAAGCACTCTGTCCCCGTCTTCAGCAGCAAGCGAAGTTAAAATTTTGATGGTACCAGTAACTGTCTGATAGTGTATTTCCGTTGAGCGCCAGTTATATCCCTTGGTAACTCCTTGCAGCGCCATTCTCCTCAGACCATTCTTCCTCCAAAAGGGCCCTCACAACATTTCGCTTGTCATACATTAATTCACCACTCAGAACCTGTGAGTCTTTCTTTCTGTCTGCTCATTTCCCAACACACCGGCATGACCTGAAGAATGTGAAGAGGTCTTGAAAGAAACTGACTCACGAAGGGAACTGATTGCCCACATCAGAAGGAGACAATCTACATTCTTTGGTCATGTGATGAGAAGGATAAAACTGGAGTACATCCTGACAGTAGGAAAATTAGAGGGGAGGAGAAGCAGAGGGAGACCAAGAGAACAGATGCTAGACAGACTGACATCATGGCATGGAGGATCATCTGTATCAGAATTGATTGAAAGTGCACGAGACAGAAGGTTGTGGATAGACAAGACTACCAATGCCACACAGTCAGTCAGTTCTCGTTATGCCTAGTGGCACATGAGGCTTCAGAGAGGACTTTCCATGCTTTCCTGTCCCGTGCAATCTTCAGTGCAGTTTTCCACACAGCATGGACTTTAAGAACATATGACAGTCAACTTACAGCAGGCGCTGTTTGATAATACTTTGGAAAATACAATAATATTAAAACTCTTTTTCTAACATCGGACACCTTATAAATGCAATATAGTTGTTAGTTTTACAAAGATGCATTAGTCTTATACAGATTAGAGCTGTGAAGATCCTCTGAACATTCTAGATTATTGATTAAAAATGGCTTCTAATTAATCCAGGGATACACTGAGTTATGAAAGAAAACAGTTTTGAGAGAGTCAGAAATTTAAAAAAAACGGTTGGACTGAATATCATGTTTTAGTTTGGTCTCTTTGTCCCTTCCTTAAGTTTATGGTTCTGTGTCTTTTGCTCTAATTTCTCTGCATCTCATTTTCTCTCTCTCTTCTCCTTGATTCTCTCTCTCTCTCTTGCCCACTTCTCTCTCTCTCTTACGCTCACTTCTCTGCCTCTCATTCTTCTGTTTCCTTCTAATTTATCTCAGCCTCTCTCATTTCTTGTCCAGTCTCTCTATCCTGCACAACCACTGCCTCCACCCCTACAATGGAAAGCAGTAAGCTGATTTCACAGATAAACAAATAAACTGGACCAAAGAACATCACTGACCAAACACCACATGTTTCCCATCCAGAAAATCACACTTGGCGCAAGTAATGAAAAACTGGCAGCCATTGGTGTCCTTGCCGCTGTTCGCCTGCGACAGAGATAATATATATACCTGTTACTACCGCTAGAGACATAACAGAAAATTAAGGTCATCACCGAGAAGAAGAATTACCCCAGTGAGTGCAATAAGTAAACCCTTGCTAATACAAACTCCAATGGACCAAAAAAATACAATAGTTCATGTTAAATCTTTTTCTTCTTCTTCGCGTTCACCAGCTGTAAACTCCAGGAAAAAGTTCAGGTTGTTTGTCCATCTCTGGACTTTAGTCTTGTTCCCAACCTCAGTGTTATGTGCACATCCATTTTACAGTCCTGACTTATTTATAGGCAGACTGTTGGTTCCTTGCCTCTCAAGCAGACGCACTCCGACTTCGAAAGAAGCTCCCAGTTTGCTGACTCATACTACATGCTTTTGGGTAGGCAGTGGGTCTATTCTTGTTCTCAGTGTTGAAACTGAAAACAAAATTATGGGCTGTCTCCACAGTGAAGGTTGGCTGCAGAATACCACTCCTGTCTTTGATAATATTGTGAGGCTCCAATTTCTTCCACAGTGCAATTCTCATACAAATTACCAAAAACTACGAGAATGTTTTTTTATGAGAACTGTCTACTGCAGGAATCAGAACATAGTACTCTTTTAGATTTTTAGTTTCGTTTGCAGGTGTCTGCCTGTCTGCTTCCTCTTGGCCACGACTTCCCCCCTACCGCTTGCAAGTGTTTATATCGAGATCACTTATACTGGCTACATTTTAAAGATGCAGAAATAACCCTTTCATCTCGGTGGCCTAAAAAAATATAGCCATGATCCCATACGCATGGGCACAATTATAAATATACACTTTATGATACAAGCACAACTATAAATGTTAATCACCAAAGCACAACTATAAATAAACACTTCATGACTCAAGTACAGCTACAAATACACACTTCACAACCCGGGTAAATGTAAAGGACCCTTCACCACACCTTTGGGTGCATTGGGCTAGACAGATTTTAAAGACCAGTTGGTACTCTATGGGTGATGTGGTCAACATAATACTAGCCGCCTTTCTTTCCCAGGACTTTAACTGGTACCCATGTCAGGCTGGCTCAATCTCGAAGACAAGGTTATTTAAAAAAAAAATAAAAGTCAGGCTCCATCAGGACTTGAACCCATGACCTTCAGGTCAGCAGGACAGCGTCTAACCACTACATCACGGCGGCTCCATTCCCACTCTGAGTGCAGCTTCTAATACTTACAGACCATAATATTAATGTGGACTTTATGATTTGATTAAACATGAGAAACTTGAATACTTGATGAACTGCAAAAAACTACAAAGCCCATGGTTCTGACCAGAACTTGAACAAGATTCCCCGATTATCGAAACGTGTACTGACCATAGACAATATGCCAGCCGATTCATGCTTTCTCCTGAAGTTTTCATCTGCAAATGGTCGCCCAGCGTAAATACTTGTGATACCTGTCCCATCACTCTGCGACATATATCAAAGACACATACAGTTTAACATAAAGAGAGAAATTATTAAACACTTATCAAACTAAAATGAAATGATATTCAGTTTGACTATTCATCACATTTCTGTAATCTCTGGCTTGCTCAGAACACAGCTCAAGACTTAGAAGTGTTGTCTTTCTCTCATCAAATACATAGTGCTAAGAAGTGTTGTCTTTCTCTCATCAATTACATAGTGCTAAGAAGTGTTGTCTTTCTCTCATCAATTACATAGTGCTAAGAAGGGTTGTCTTTCTCTCATCAATTACATAGTGCTAAGAAGTGTTGTCTTTCTCTCATCAATTACATAGTGCTAAGAAGTGTTGTCTTTCTCTCATCAATTACATAGTGCTAAGAAGGGTTGTCTTTCTCTCATCAAGTACATAGTGCTAAGAAGTGTTGTCTTTCTCTCATCAATTACATAGTGCTAAGAAGGGTTGTCTTTCTCTCATCAATTACATAGTGCTAAGAAGTGTTGTCTTTCTCTCATCAATTACATAGTGCTAAGAAGGGTTGTCTTTCTCTCATCAATTACACAGTGCTAAGAAGTGTTGTCTTTCTCTCATCAATTACATAGTGCTAAGAAGTGTTGTCTTTCTCTCATCAATTACATAGTGCTAAGAAGTGTTGTCTTTCTCTCATCAATTACATAGTGCTAAGAAGTGTTGTCTTTCTCTCATCAATTACATAGTGCTAAGAAGTGTTGTCTTTCTCTCATCAATTACATAGTGCTAAGAAGTGTTGTCTTTCTCTCATCAATTACATAGTGCTAAGAAGTGTTGTCTTTCTCTCATCAAGTACATAGTGCTAAGAAGTGTTGTCTTTCTCTCATCAAGTACATAGTGCTAAGAAGTGTTGTCTTTCTCTCATCAAGTACATAGTGCTAAGAAGTGTTGTCTTTCTCTCATCAAGTACATAGTGCTAAGAAGTGTTGTCTTTCTCTTATCAAGTACACAGTGCTAGACCTATGTTTTATAGACCAACTGGCACTCTGTGGGTTTTACGATCAACATCATGCTAGCCGCCTTTATGTCCCAGAACTTTACCTGGTGCCTACTTAATGCTCGGTCGACCTGGAAATGTTTTTTATTTCCCAATGTCCAGCTCCAGTCATATTTGAACTCATAACCTTCGGATCCGCAGATGCGAGCGTTTAATCAATACACAATGGCATTTTCCAGTATGGATAAAAAAAGCTCGTAAAATAAAATCTACTGGAAAACAGAAGCTATGAAGAGGCATAATCTCCCACGTTACTTGCAAGATATGGAATAACAGCTCACTGACATACAGAACCAATGAACTTTATTTTCCAAGAGTCACAAATTAGGCAGGCAGGCCTGTCTTACATTAGACTCTTCAACCAAAAACTCATCTTTCACACAGCATTGTATTTTATCTGTAAGGCACATTATGTGCATAATAGTATACATACATGAGTATCAAGTAAAATACATAAAAGCATGGGTGATGTACGTATACATAATACATACACATATGCTCATATACATATGTACATACATGCATATAAAAAATTCACACTTATGCACACATACATATAAGACAAACACACACTCATGGATAATCATACATACAAATTTTATACAGACATTCTCATACAAAACCTCTGTTCAAGCACACACACACCAGGGATTACAACCTAGATCCTATTTTGTTTTAAATATGCCACCTCCACGACAGACGTTGGCTGCAGTTGTTCCGCTGCTAACTATAGGAATATTAGGTGGTGAGGCTCCAATCTCTTCCACAGTGCAACTCTTGTACAACTGTCTGAAAGTCAGAATAAGAGTTGTCTTTTTCTAAACCGCTTATCACAGGAATCAAACCCTGCAAAACGCCAAGGATTGCATTGTGAAACATTGTCACTAATCTCTAAGTCTCAGAACTGCATGTTATTTAACTGAGAGACTATTTTTACCACTGTCATTTGCTTGTCAAAATGTATGCTATTTACGTTTATTTTTTTACTATTTTTTTTTTTTTTTTTTTTTTTTTTTTTTTTTTTTTTTTTTTTTTTTTTTTTTTTTTTTTTTTAAATATATTTTACAATTTATACTACTAATGAATATCTACTGACCACTTACATTTACAAAATCGCCTCCTTGAACCATGAAATCTTTGATGACTCTGAAAAGACAACAATGAAATTTTTCATAACACTAACAACACAACAATGAATTCAGCAGCAAACGCTGAAACAATTATTGCTTCATGGATATTTGTTTATAAATTAAAATCATATAATTCATTTCACTCTCGCACAGTCAGACAGTCGACTTCTGTAGCCAAGGTGTCCTGAACACGCTTTGTAATGCCAGGTTCGATTCCAGCTGCAGGTCTTGTGTTGGTTTCGACCCCAGCATTTTTTTGGCTCTTGCGGTTTTTCTAGGCAATTTTCGTCCAGTAGTTCGCCATTGCTTTTTTTTATGGCAGTCAGCTTCTCTGTTCTACTATTGAAACCAACACAAGGCCCGCAGCTGGGACTAAAAATGGCACCCCAGCATTACGAAGTTAATTCACAACACCTAAGCCACAGACGCTGACTTTACAACCCAACACTGTGAGACTGGAAACAACAGCTGGCATCAAATTCACTGAGAAGCAGAAGACCAAATAGTTTGTGGTCATGTCTTTAGAATGCAACTATAACTACCAACTCAGGTGCTATGCCGAAAGAGATATGATGTGAGAGTAAGAAAGTGCCCAAGGAGAAATGTACTGACGACATTACAAATATACATCCACACAGATAACAATGGTCAGCTCTTCTTCGCATTCACCGGATGTAAACTTCAATGGAAAGTGGACTTTTTGTCCCCTTCTGGACTTTGGTCTTGTTTTGGAACTTGAGTTTGTTCGTTTTTTATACCCAAGATGGCTTATTTGTGTGCAGATTGTTGGTTCCTTGCTTCTCAAGCAGAAGGACTCTGACTTCTAAAATCTGGCACTAATCAGCAAGCACTGGACTGAAAATTGTTCTTCCCCATGACACCTAACCACAGCAGTTAAAATTGTGATGTTCAAAGTCACAGCCCAATTCTTCGCTGAGGCTTTCAATGTGTAACTGCATGGCTTTTTTTTCTTTCTTCCAGTTATCACAAACTTGTTTGCCTGAGCCAAGCTCACCTAAAGAATACTGTCTTTTCAAGCCACTCATCTGACATACACAAAAGCATGGCCAGTCTATCTGAGTTGAACAGAAGTGTCTAAACAACATATGGTTACTGAATAAGCAAACATGTTGGTTGTGTACTCTTTAGAAGTCACTGGAGGCAAACTCCATCATTTGTTGTGTGTAGTTTTTCACGACAATTTCATGTTCAGTAAGTTTGCCAGAGCTTCTGAACAGTTAGCGTTAATATCCTTGTTGAAATCTATGCAAGAGATGGAGTATTTGAGGCCATGAATGCCAGCATCACGTCGCACACACCAAGGCTCGTACTAGACGCCTCTTCAAAACCTGACCCTGAAAGCCTTTCTATAACATCAGTGTATGCCCAATATGCCACATTTGCTTGAAAACTGAATGCTGCATCGTTTCAATATCTGTATACAAAATACAAACCTGTGAAATATTGCACCCTTGTACCCAATTGGTTTCCCATCTTTACGATATTCTCCTGTACACAGCTGTCTGCAAAATATTTCATCAATAAATATATATAAATTACAGACTTTTTCATAACAGCTTCTTCTACAGTGTCTCCCCAAAAATAAGACCTACCCAAAAAATAAGCCCTAGCATGATCTTTCAGAATGCTTTTAATAGAAGCCCAGACCCCAAAAAATGCCCTAGTTGAAATCGTCAGCTAGAATGAGAGACCTTTTGTCAAAGTACAGGTGCCAATGATGCACGCTTGATCATAATGAGCAGATTCAGGATTTGGAGAGTTATGGCAATGTTCTGGAAGTAGGTGACCTGGTCTTATTTTTAAGGAAACACAGGGCTTCTGCAATTTATCTTCCAGTGGAACCCAACCAAATGCACCAAGTCATCCTATGACTTGCTGTCATGTGCAGCTCAGCCATGTTTCAGTTACACCCCCCCCCCCTCTTGGTTGGCTGGTTTACTAGTTTCTTGACTTTTCATAGTTGTTTGATTTGTGTGGCTATAGTCTAATGCAGTGTTTCCCAAACCTGTCTTAGTCACTGCCCCTTTTTTCAACACGGTGCCCTAACCTAAGTAAAAGTATGACTATTCGTATGCAAGAGATAAAAAAATAACTCGCGTTTCTTCTAATATTTTGCAGCGCCCCTGTGAAGAGGTCACGGCTCCCTGGGGCAGCAGTTTGGAAATCACTGGTCTAAAGAAAAACAGACTCTTGAAGAGAACTGATTGCCAACATCAGAAGGAGATAGTCTACATTTCTTGGGCCAATGTATGAGAAAGCGAAAACTGGAGCACACTGTGACAATGGAAAAGCTGGAGGGGAAGAGAGACAGGGAGACCAAGAGAGAAAATACTGGACAGTTTGACATCATGGCATGGAGGATCATTTTTGTCAGAACTGGCTGAAAGTACATGAGACAGAAGGTTGTGGAAAGACATGAATACCAATGCCATACGGCATGGACTGTCAGAAAAAGGAGTCTTATGGAATGAGGTAGCCAACCCCAACACTAACCTTAGTCATCTCTTATGACCTACCTCCCTGGTAGGATACAGCACTACCATTCTCTGCTTCTTTTAAGTGCCCATGTAACATTTAAGTGTTTCATAACTGGCCATGAATTATTTTAAGATGTCTTTGTAAACGTGGCCGTAAAATATTCCACTAATAAATAATGACATGTGACATGATTTCTGTTTGAGAATACTGTTTGTGGATACTTCAGCAAATAAATCATAAATGATAAAATTATTTCATATTACTAAACTGCATGTTTGACTATCAATAATTAATTATTTACTCAACATGGAAAGCTGTGGTAATGATGTGGCGAGCACACTTAAGCTACTGGTCACCGAGTCAAATCTCCATCATGATGAATTTTCTTTTGTTTTTCACTGACCCAGGAACCCAGAACAACACAGCCAACAGATACCAGGGAATGGCTGGGAGGCAAATGCAGCCATAGTAATTGTGACCAACTCACTTAATGGTCTACTGGATGTGGTAAACACAGCTGTGAGTGTACACTGAGATAAGTGGACACCTTTGGGGTGTCCTCTGCTTTTAGTTAGACTACTTCGGAGTAAGTGAGGGACCCTTTTCCATGCCTTCATATATCCTTTATATCCAATCCTTTATATGTCCAGCTTGCCTTTCTCCCTGAGTGTTAGTCAGATCCCCACATTCTCTCCATACTGTAATAATCTATTTGCACTTCAATGCTGTTTACTTGCTCCCAAAGGGCCATGGTCACATTCAGCTTGTATTCATCAATTCACCATCCAGTGGTACAGCAGCAGCCAATCTTCTGGCTGTTTGTTTCCCAACACACCTGCATACCCCAGAGAAAAGTTTCAAAGAATGTTAACTACTGAAGATCTCTAAACTGATGCTTTCTTCTCTATACAGACAGAGCATGCCTTTCTCCATCTTTCTCATCATGATTTCTGAGTTACACTGAATGAGAACAGCTAATGACATCCACCAAGCACTGAACCAACAACAATTCCTTCTCATGAAGCTTCACAGCGAAAGTAGAACATAATGATGGTGCCAGCAGCAAGTTTCAAACAACATTAAGGATTAACAAGGGATGTAGTCTGTGTCAGCATCCAGTGATTTAAAACATAAGATGAACAGCAGATTATCATGCATTATGAATGTAATAAAAGTTTCTTTCCAAAAGATGTTACCTGAAATTTTCAGCAGTTTTAGGAACTGTATCAGCAAACAGCTCAAATTTGATCCTTCCTGCTGCCTGTGAAATACATCAATATTCTGTAGAACCTATTCTCTCAGACTGTCTATGCAAGTAAAGAACATGTTTTTGACATTTTCACTACCAGATAATATATGCGACCTGTGGTTCTTATCCATTAAAATCAGTCATCAGACCTCTCGGCTCTCCTCCGAAATTCTACCCGATATTATGGCGGCCAAGCAAATAGCCTAACAAGGAACAAATTGCGGTAAAACTAGGATCGGCTCCGAATAACGAAACAAATGCTTTTACAGGGTCTCAGCAATATGTTAATTGCGGACGTGTTTCTGCGACTATGCCGCACCGCCTACAGTATTCCCCGTGCCGCGTTTAGCGGCGCAGATGGGGGAGCTAAACTAGTTGGCTGGGACTCACGAGCAGCAGCTACCGCATCTCCTGCAACTTCTAATTTATTTGTTCATGAGTCCAGTCATATCTAGTTTAGATTCCCATCCGCGCCGCACGTAGCGGCGCAGGGGAAACTGTCAGCAGTTAGTTTAACCACGTTTTGCGCATGCCGAAATGTGTAAGGACAACAACAACGCTAATCTACATTTGAGCACATGGTCTCCCCATCATGTGGCTATAATTATTATCGTCTGCAATGTTGCATGTCTCGAAATTGTCAATGGTCGCTATTATTGTCTGCAGAAACGCTTGAAATTGTCATCGGTCGCTATTATGGCTGGGACTCATGAGCAGCAGCTACCGCATCTCCTGCAGCTTCCTTCATTTCATTTTATTTGCTCGTGAGTCCCAGCCATCTAGTTTAGCCCCATTCCACGCTACGTGAGCGGCGTGAGGGATACTCTTGGCTGTGGCAGTATAGTCCCTGGAATTCTGCAATTGACTGAGGCCCTGTTAAGGTATATTTTTGACCTCGATAATTTGGGACCGTTATTCCAAGGTTTACTTTGCCTATATTTTATATATATATATATATATATATATATATATATATATATATATATATATATATATATATATATATATCTATTATATATATATATATATATATCTATATATATATATATATATATATATATATAAAACCTCGGTACTACAGATTACTCATGATTACTGATATTTTAATTTATAACAATCATTTAACCCGAATTATTATATTTTTAATTAATTCGTTTCCCGTGTACGTTTGTTTAACGTTTGGTTTGTTGGCTACAACTTGGAATTCAAATTCTTCGTGAACTTCGTCCTGTCCGCTGATCCCTTCTCTAGCTGAAGCATAGCTCCCTGGTGGGGTTTCCCTTGTTAGTTCTCTAACTAAAAATAAATAAATGCATACATACCGTACTGCCAATGGCTATGTCAAAGAAAACAACAGGGTTTGGTATTTGCGTCATTGTTTACCGATAAAAACGTAAGCACGAAAAGCCGCCTATAAATAAACTGCTGGTTTCACAAAACAGCATACTGCTATATTTTCCAACTAGAGTGGTTTCCTCCTGGTGTCTATTGAGACGCAAGTCTGTTTCTTTGCGTTCCTCTGCGCTATTACAGTAAAAGTAAAGATCTTTTCACGCCGTATCTTTTCAGGCGTATCGGGTATATGGGAAGAGCACCCATATTTTTACAGACCAATCAGCACTAGGTGGGTAGCGTGGTCAGCATTAAGCCGGCCGTCTTTACTTCCCCAGGACATACATCCTGGTACCCATTTTGGGCTGGGTCGACCTGCGACGCTCATACAATGATAAAAAATCCATGCTGCCAGTCGTGACAGCAGCGCTTATCGGCACGGCGCATTATAATGATGCTATTTTTCCACTTTTTTTTCTCTCTGTCAAACTCCGGTTCTACGTCCAACTCCTCTTCTGGGTTATCAGGTTATCGTACGGCTTTTAATGGTATTATCTCATTAAGAAAAAGATTGTGATCTCAACTCTTTCTCTTGACAGGCAAGATTCACTGTTCTTGTTGTTTAAGAATGTCTCAGAAAAGAATCGTGAAAACTGCACATCTGAGTTTTGGGATTGGATTTCCACTATTTAGCAACAGTATTTGCATTGATGTCTGTGTAATTATGATTGGGTTTATGTCAGGGCAGCTACTAGTATCAACAGCTATAAGACCGAGAAGATGGCGATAATTTGTCACATTCAGAGAAGACGCAGAGTCACCAGAGAGGCACTGAAATGGAAAACTGAGGAAACGATGACATCCAAGAGAACCCCTAAATCAAAACATCCAAGAGAAACCCTAAATTGAAACATCTAAGAGAAACCCTAAATCGAAACATCCAAGAGAAACCCTAAATCAAAACATCCAAGAGAAACCCTAAATCGAAACATCCAAGAGAAACCCTAAATAAAAACATCCAAGAGAAACCCTAAATCTAAACATCCAAGAGAAACCCTAAATCGAAACATCCAAGAGAAACCCTAAATCAAAACATCCAAGAGAAACTCTAAATCGAAACATCCAAGAGTAACCCTAAATCAAAACATCCAAGAGAAACCCTAAATCAAAACATCCAAGAGAAACCCTAAATCGAAACATCCGAGAGAAAATTTAAATCAAAACGTCCAAGAGAAACCCTAAATCGAAACATCCAAGAGAAACCCTAAATCAAAACATCCAAGAGAAACCCTAAATCGAAACATCCAAGAGAAACCCTAAATCGAAACATCCAAGAGAAATCCTGAATCGAAACATCCAAGAGAAACCCTAAATCAAAACATCCAAGAGAAATCCTAAATCAAAACATCCAAGAGAAACCCTAAATCGAAACATCCAAGAGAAACCCTAAATCGAAACATCCAAGAGAAACCCTAAATCAAAACATCCAAGAGAAACCCTAAATCGAAACATCCAAGAGAAACCCTAAATCGAAACATCCAAGAGAAACCCTAAATTGAAACATCCAAGAGAAACCCTAAATTGAAACATCCAAGAGAAACCCTAAATTGAAGCATCCAAGAGAAACCCTAAATTGAAACATCCAAGAGAAACACTAAATTGAAGCATCCAAGAGAAACCCTAAATCGAAACATCCAAGAGAAACCCTAAATCAAAACATCCAAGAGAAACCCTAAATCAAAACATCCAAGAGAAACTCTAAATCAAAACATCCAAGAGAAACCCTAAATCAAAACATCCAAGAGAAACCCTAAATCAAAACATCCAAGAGAAACCCTAAATCAAAACATCCGAGAGAAAATTTAAATCAAAACGTCCAAGAGAAACCCTAAATCGAAACATCCAAGAGAAACCCTAAATCAAAACATCCAAGAGAAACCCTAAATCAAAACGTCCAAGAGAAACCCTAAATCGAAACATCCAAGAGAAACCCTAAATCAAAACATCCAAGAGAAACCCTAAATCGAAACATCCGAGAGAAACCCTAAATCGAAACATCCAAGAGAAATCCTAAATCAAAACATCCAAGAGAAACCCTAAATTGAAACATCCAAGAGAAACCCTAAATTGAAACATCCAAGAGAAACCCTAAATTGAAGCATCCAAGAGAAACCCTAAATTGAAACATCCAAAAGAAACACTAAATCGAAGCATCCAAGAGTAACCCTAAATCAAAACATCCAAGAGAAACCCTAAATCAAAACATCCAAGAGAAACCCTCAATCGAAACATCCGAGAGAAAATTTAAATCAAAACGTCCAAGAGAAACCCTAAATCGAAACATCCAAGAGAAACCCTAAATCAAAACATCCAAGAGAAACCCTAAATCGAAACATCCAAGAGAAACCCTAAATCGAAACATCCAAGAGAAATCCTGAATCGAAACATCCAAGAGAAACCCTAAATCAAAACATCCAAGAGAAATCCTAAATCAAAACATCCAAGAGAAACCCTAAATCGAAACATCCAAGAGAAACCCTAAATCGAAACATCCAAGAGAAACCCTAAATCAAAACATCCAAGAGAAACCCTAAATCGAAACATCCAAGAGAAACCCTAAATCGAAACATCCAAGAGAAACCCTAAATTGAAACATCCAAGAGAAACCCTAAATTGAAACATCCAAGAGAAACCCTAAATTGAAGCATCCAAGAGAAACCCTAAATCGAAACATCCAAGAGAAACACTAAATTGAAACATCCAAGAGAAACCCTAAATCAAAACATCCAAGAGAAACCCTAAATCAAAACATCCAAGAGAAACCCTAAATCAAAACATCCAAGAGAAACTCTAAATCAAAACATCCAAGAGAAACCCTAAATCAAAACATCCGAGAGAAAATTTAAATCAAAACGTCCAAGAGAAACCCTAAATCGAAACATCCAAGAGAAACCCTAAATCAAAACATCCAAGAGAAACCCTAAATCAAAACGTCCAAGAGAAACCCTAAATCGAAACATCCAAGAGAAACCCTAAATCAAAACATCCAAGAGAAACCCTAAATCGAAACATCCGAGAGAAACCCTAAATCGAAACATCCAAGAAAAATCCTAAATCAAAACATCCAAGAGAAACCCTAAATTGAAACATCCAAGAGAAACCCTAAATTGAAACATCCAAGAGAAACCCTAAATTGAAGCATCCAAGAGAAACCCTAAATTGAAACATCCAAAAGAAACACTAAATCGAAACATCCAATAGAAACCCTAAATCGAAACATCCAAGAGAAACCCTAAATCAAAACATCCAAGAGAAACCCTAAATTGAAACATCCAAGAGAAACACTAAATTGAAACATCCAAGAGAAACCCTAAATCGAAACATCCCAGAGAAACCCTAAATCAAAACATCCAAGAGAAACCCTAAATCAAAACATCCAAGAGAAACCCTAAATCGAAACATCCCAGAGAAACCCTAAATCAAAACATCCAAGAGAAACCCTAAATCGAAACATCCCAGAGAAACCCTAAATCGAAACATCCAAGAGAAACCCTAAATTGAAACATCCAAGAGAAACCCTTAATTGAAACATCCAAGAGAAACACTAAATTGAAACATCCAAGAGAAACCCTAAATCGAAACATTCAAGAGAAACCCCAAATCGAACCAAAGAGGCCAAAGAAGCTGGACTGCATCCGTGATGTCGAAGTGAATGCACATAATATGTTGGCTTGAAGAAATGGAAATGTGAGCTCCATGTAAAATATAATGGCGCCATAGGACAATGAATGGATGCAGTTGCAATAATAGCCAGAATGAGTGACCCAGATGTTTTGAAACAAGCAAGAGCCAAAAGAGGGCTCATCTTAAACATCAGAAGGAAATTGTTGGCCGTGTTATGAGAGGAAGAAAACTGAAACATGTGACAACTGGAAAACATTAGCGGAAAGAGATACAGAGCAAGACAACGAGAGATGATTTTTGATATCCCTTTGTCATGGCAAGGATTTGTCAGCATATTAACTAGAACATGCTGTAGAAGATCGCAGGCTGTGGAGAGGCATGATTGCCCAAGGAAAATTAGCAAGCACTTGATGATAATGATATGCATTGCTGATCAGAGTAGATGGTAGTGCTTCACTGTCTCATACGTTCATCAAAATAAGGGATAATGATAGTGTTTTTGCTCTGTCTGAAGCTGCATGTGGCCAGGCTGTCCAAGTATTTATATGCGTGTTTTCTTTTTTCCATCAAAGTTACCAGCCGTCACGAAGCACTCGAGTTTTCCTCTACTATCAAAAACGAATGGATCCGAATTGTCACTAATGTATAGGCACCGGAATATGAAAGCTCGGTACCTTGAGCTCCCATAATTTTTTTTTTTTTTTTTTTTGGAGGGGGGAGAGGGGGAGCGTCAGCCCAACACCCCCACCGCCTAGCTTCTTCTTCTCCTGCGTTCGACATCAGTCATGCTAAACACTGAGTCCCGTCTGGGTCACAAATAGGATTGTGCGTTTAAGGTCGCCACCGGTCCCCCATAGCTTCTCTCGCAATGTGGCTCCCCTGGGCCAGATCCACAGTCTTTGCTGGGAGAGGTACGGGCAGTACTGCAGCATGTGCTCAGGGGTCTGTCTTTCTGCTCCACAATCACAGACAGCAGATTCTTCTATGCCTATCCTGTACAGGTGTGCTCGAAGACCACAGTGTCCAGTCCGAAGTCTAAAAATTGATGTTTGTTCTTTCCTGTTGAGTTTGTTTATGCTGTCAATCTCTAGTCTGTAATAATTAAACTTAATTATTTGCCTATAAATAGAGCATCATTTTGCAAGTTCTTCTTTATGGAGCGGAATTCTGGAGAATGACCAACATTTTCTGACCTGAGTGCGGCATCTTTGACAAGGAAATCTGCACTGAAGATTGCACAAAACAGGAAAGCATGGAAAGTCCTCTCTGAAGCCTCCTGTGCCACTAGGCATAACGAAAACTGATGATGATTTGCCTATAAATAGTAAGGTGATAAAGAATAAAGGCATGGTTGAGAGTAGGGTCTCAGCCCTTCTATTCATTGATTTGTTAATATCGCGGGTGGGGAAGGGGGGTAGGGGGCCAAAAAAAAAAAATTATTACCCCAGAATTTGTAAGGCGAGGACTGAGTCACCATCAAATTTTTTTCGTGCCGGCGCGCCTGAACATATCCCATCATTTATCACTATTTCCGGACTTAATGACTTTAACTATAACATATTATTAACCCATGCCTGCCATGCTGTAAGATGGATAAAGATTTGATTTGATTCAAGAACCGATATGACAGCACTCGAGGCATTCCCATAAGCGCTTCGTCCTCATCTTCAGCATCCAGCGAAGAAGAATCAGTATTCCACCAAGTTGTACAGAGCCAGCCGGTCTGTCCGCCTGTTCATTTCCCAAAACACCGGCATATTCCGGTGAAAAAATCCAGACAATAATTCTCACCAGTGTCCTCCGCAGGCCACTCTGCACGAAGCATGCCTGTCCTGATCTTCCTCAGCATGCTTTCTGAGTCAGTTATAATCACGATGTGTGTGTGTGTGTGTGTGTGTGGTGTTCTCTAGCCAGCGGAAAACTGCAGTAACCGCCTCCACCCCCATTCTTAAGCTGGATGTTGTGGTATCAAATGCTAGGCTCTCCTGCACAAAACGTCGACCATCAACTTTTGCTAAGAAGTCCCAAGCACTTCTCTTGCCTCTTGACAATGAACCATCTGAGTAAATGATCAGATCCTCCGAGCGAGCATTATCTTGAATTAATTGCTGAATTTCCACCTCTGTGGCACCTGCTGGCCAGTCTTTGCATTCCCGGCTCAGCGTGATTATGACTCTACACAGGCCTGACTGTTCAGGGGATGGAGAAAGATGATGATGGCGAGTATTTCAAAAATGTATCCCGGAACAAGTGTAAACAAAAACAATGGCGACGAAGATAATACGAATTCTCCCCAGAAGTATTGGGCGTCGTTCGCCGACCATCGTAAGACACCTGTCTACAGGCAGCGCCGTATTTCAGGAGAAAGAGGCACAGCCATTCTCTTCTGATGGACATGACATCGTTTATGGACCCTATCATCTTCAGATGCAAGACTCGCTGAAGAAAGTAAAATTAAGAATGCTATCATCATCTGATCGAAGTACTCTCCTACTTTTCATTCATCGATTTCAAGTTCAAAGTCCAAAATAAATAAAATAATAATATATTGTATATTATTATTATTATAGTAAACAGTTTAAATAAAAATATGTTTACAAGTCTGTCAGCTCACTTGTAGCAGCATCCGTGTACCGCCAGGGTCCAAAGGAAAGCAGGCTCGGTACTCCTGTCAAATCCGGACGAAGAATAAAAAGCCTTGGACGACTTAGTCAGAGTTCTCTCCCTTGGCCGCACTGCAAACAGTGATCGGAAAAGCCAACGAAACAAAAGACACAAGCAACATGGCAGTTAGACGCACTCACATAACTAACATCGTTCTTGCGACCAACTTCGTCGACGCCGTACACAGTCACATACACACACAAACAATTGAGGGCCTCTGGATGCTGGTCAAACGCACAATTCGCCAACGATTGGGCACCAGCCGCACACTATTGGCGTCATATTTAGCAGAATTTCAGTGGCGCCACGCCCACAAACATCAGATTGTCTGCCAGTATTTCGAAACCCTACATCAAAATTTTCACATCTAACCCTAACCCTAACCCTACCCCTAATCCTACCTCTAACCCTAACCCTACCCCTACCCCTAACCCTAACCCTACCCCTAACCCTAACCCTACCCCTACCCCTACCCCTAACCCTAACCCTAACCCTACCCCTAACTCTAACCCAACAACCGCATGATGACTACACAACCATTCACGATGCCTCACGCAACCCTGCACGCAACCATATGATGACCACGCACCCCTTCACGATGCCTCACGCAACCGTACGCAGCCCTACACGCAACCGTATGATGATAGGTAAGTGTGTCGTTTGTTTCGTTGGCTTTTCCGATCACTGTTTGCAGTGCAGCCAAGGGAGAGAACTCTGACTAAGTCGTCCAAGGCTTTTTATTCTTCGTCCGGATTTGACAGGAGAGCCGCAGGCTCTCCTTGCACCTTTGGACGCAAGCTGGACGGCTTAGGTCAGCTTAGTGGGAGTTCTCTCCCTTGGCCGCATTGACAACAACGAGCGGAAAAAGTCACGAATCAAATGACATACTATCATCATCCGGGTGCGTGTAGGGTTGCGTACAGTTGCGTGAAGGGTTGCGTAGTCATCATACGGTTGCGTCTAGGGTTGCCTATCATTATACGGTTGCCTGTAGGGCTGCGTAGGGTGTCTATCACCATAATACGGTTGCGTGTAGGGTTGCGTAGGGTGTGGGTTGGGGTTAGGGATTGGGTTATGGGTAGGGGTAGGGTTAGGGGTTACGGTTAGGGGTAGGATTAGATGTGAAAATGGTGACGTAAAACGTCCAAATACTGATGCTTGTGGGAGTGGCGCCACTGGAAGTGTGCCAAATATGACGGCAATAGCGCGCGGCTGGTGCCCAATCGGTGGCGAATTGTCGGTGTCAGTAGCATCCACCGTCGGTCGACTGTTTGGGTGTGTATGTGACTGTGCACGATTATAGGGAACTACGGCGTCAAAATTGTCACATCTAACGCTAAACCTAACCCTACCCCTAACCTTACCCCTAACCCTACCCCTAACCCTACCCCTAACCCTACCCCTAACCGTAACCCTAACGCTACCCCTAATCCTAACCCTAACCCTACCCCTAACCCAAACCCTAATCCTACCGCTAACCCTAACCCTACCCCTAATCACGCAAATTTATCGGTCATTAATGCATACAGATCGGCAAAACACCACACACACAAAAAACCCAGATTTCCCCACAGCGTCAAAAGAAAAACCCAGATCTGGGGGACACAACCAAGCATTGGCAGCCCTGATGTCGACCTCACTGTCTTGTTTGATTCGTGACTTTTTCCACTCGTTGTTGTCAATGCGGCCAAGGGAGAGAACTCCCACTAAGCCGACCTAAGCCATCCAGCTTGCATCCAAAGGTGCAAGGAGAGACGGAAAGCAAAGCAGTAGAAGAGTTAGGGCTGCCAGAGTTAGAGTAACTAATTTCACATAAAGTACCCTTTTCCACTGGGAATATAGGACTAGATCTATATTTTATAGATCATCAGCACTCAGTGAGTGATGTGGTCAGCATCATGTGGGCCGCCTTTACTTTCCAGAAGTTTACCTGGTACCCATTTTAGCCTGGGTCAACCTGGAAGCCAAGATCATTTTTGAAAAAAAGTCAGGCTCTGTCAGAACCCGAATACACGACCTTCCGATCAGCAAGCAAACCAATTTAACCAAAGCAGGTCGTAAATAAATGATGATTAACTTTTTTAGAAATTTATTAAGTAAACACTATCCCACAGTTTGTGTGCTTTATTATTTAAACACATTTTTTGGGTCTAAATTTACATCTTGGATATCGTCCAAATAAGGGGCAGTAAAGATGGCGGCCGCAAAATATTCTGACGGCCTCAGTCCCGTGTCATGTGTTGTAAACATTCAAAAACTGAAGTCAAAACTAATAAGAAACAAAAAATTTTTTTATATCAAATCGACTACTTACCGATAATTTTATGCCGTTATATATGGAAATTATGGCACAGAAGTTGTAAATAGTGCCAGAAAATCTGCTGTTTGTAGCTGTTACGCCATTGAAACTCGGCTAAGTACGATCGGAGCGTCACTCACACGTAAATTGCAGACTTCCTTCCGACGAACACTCCGCCGAGAGCCTCCCACACTAGCAAATAAAATAAGGACGCTGCAGGAGATGTGGTAGCTGCTGCTCGTGGGTCCCAACCTTCTAGTTTAGCCCCATCCGCGCAGCAGCGCAGGGGAGACTCGGCGGCGAGTTTAACTTGGTGGTTTGTTCCGTTTCTCGAAATTGTCAACGGACACTAATCCTAGTTTTCCCGCGATGTGCTCGTGACCGCAAGTGCGCAATTGACACATGACTGAGGCTCGTCAGGATATTTTTCGGCCGCCATCTTTACCGCCTGTTATTCGGAGGATAGCCTAATCTTCTAAGTCTGTCATTTGTTGTATTCTAGAATTGTTGATTTCATCTTCCCATGTGAACCCCAACAATCTTCTGAAAAGTCTTTCCTCAAAACCTCTGAGCATTTTCTCTATCTTTCTCTCTGTTTTCCAAGTTTCTGCTCCTTAGAAAAGATCTGTCCCAACACATGTTTTATATATCCTGAGTTTAGTTTTAGTGCTGTAGATGTTTGATCTCCAGACACTCTGGAGTGTGTTGTAAGCAGCATTTGCCTTTGCAGTTCTCTGCTTGTTTTCAACCACTACATTTCCCTCTGAGTAGATATGAATGTAAAAGCTACTGACCATAAAATTGCCAAGTGAAATCACCCAGACAACCAAAAATTGCTGCGGTTGGTTGGTTCTGCAACTTCCTATAAAGGATACACAACTAACTAACTGTGATATTAAAATGCAAGAACATCAGACTATATTTGGAGTGGCCAAGAAACGAATAATGAGTTCTTTGGTACTGAATGAGTTAAAATCGTCATAAAGATTAAAGTTGATGAAGATGATGGTGGTAAACAAATTAATGATACATGAAGATTAATTAAACGATGATAAATTCAGCAGTGGTGGATGCAGTGATGATAAAGAGGATTGAAAGATCCTTGAAATAGAAATTAGACTGATGATTATGGCAAAAGAATGGTGGTGATAGTTTTGCTCGTTTAAAACACAATTCTGTGAATGATGTACCATTGTAAAGATAATTAATGCTTTTGAAATAACTAAATATATGATGAAATGAAACCCCTTCGATATTAAATATTTACAGATTATTGACAAAGACATTAACCCATATGTTGATGAATGGGAAGCTCAGCGGAAGTTTCCTGCCCACAGAGTTTTTAAAGTTCTGGGAGACAGCGGCTTTTTGGGAATCACGAAGCCAAAAGGTGATAACTACCTGCAGAATACAGGAGTGTCATTGATATATGAGTTGATCATGTGTAACATGTTTTTAGTTCTTGTTAATATTGGGACTGCTTGTGTGCTTATTTGCATTTGATTCAGTTCAATTTTATTGTGCATTTTTTTTTCTGTGTATACCAGAAAAACTATTGTAGACTTTTTGTCAGTGTACTGCTAATCAGGTCAGTGTCTGTGGTGTAAGGGTTAAGAATGATTTCATAATTCTAACATATCAGAGTTCTAAGTCAGTTGCCAGCATTTATGCAGCAGGCCACTGTAAGCTGATTTCCACAATGATCTGAGCATTGAACTACTCATTAACTAACAACAAACTACTGAATGTACACTTGCCTTAGTAAAACTGTAAAGGGCCAGCAAGTAATGGGGTTTGTTTGCCACAATTCACCTGTTTGTTGTTGTTTTAGTTCTACTGAAAGCGAATCAGCACTATACAAAATGTGATTTTTATATTGTCCAGAACATACGTCTTGAAGTCTTTAAAGTAGACGAGTTGTGACTATGAAAGAAGACATAAATATATCATCATCATCATCAAGTGACTTGCTGACTGATCTGCATGAGCATCCTTTTCTATATCTTTGCTATCTCTTGCCATGACAAAAGGCTGTCAAGAATTTGCTATTGTTGTCTTCCTTTCCAATTTGACTCTTCTTAAAAAATATAAATCATTTACGTATTTTATGAATTAAATAACACAGACGGCCATGTTGTGCAGCAAAAACTAATTGTTTTGATATTTTCTGTAAATAATCAGCTTATGGAGGCTTGGAATTGGACTACTCGTATAGTGCTGCCATGGCAGAAGCACTAGGCCATATCAATTGTGGGGGAATTCCAATGGCTGTGGGTGTACAGACTGACATGGCAACCCCAGCTTTGGCAAAGTAAGTCAGATATAGCCTTGTGTCTGTGACGTTAAAGGTGACTGAGTCACCCGATAATATTTATTTATTTCAGGCCCTAGGAAATGTATTCCATTTACAGCTTCACTCTGTTCAAGTTGATTTATTACTCCTTTATTACGCCTTGTATTTTTTAAATTTATTAAATATGTAGACAAATAATGGGTTTTGTATTTATCAGCGACAAAGGATTTTTCAGGAAATTTCCATGGAATCTTGACCCATGGATTCTTTGACAGTTTCAGGACCTCATTTTGTGAGGAAAAATAATAGACCCAGGGCTGCCGCTCCCCCCACCCAGCAAACATGTCACATAACACAACTGCTTAGGAGTTTCCTTTCAAAGTCATGGTGCATATTCCTGAAAGGTGAGGAATCAACAGCCTGCACAGAGGTAAGCCAGATCTGTAAAACAGATGTGCACACAAAATTCATGGTCTGGAACAAGACTAAAATCCAGAAGTGAAGAACGCTGAAGAAGAAGATGCCTCATTTGTTTAGCATTCATGGGGTGTAACCATGTTTGGAGTTTCAGTGCCAAAGACAGAGCCTTCAGAAGGGGATTCTCTCGATTTTCACACACACAAATTATAAAAATTAAAGTGTTTAATTAACATGCACAAAACCATATATATTTGTGTAGGAAATTGAATGAACTAACACCATCTTTATGAATCACACTGACATTTAAACATTTATTAAATTAGCTGTTAAATTTATGCATGCAATTTGTTTTTAATTACTTAGGACAAACATGACTAAACTGAACATGACTGCCCTAACAAAAACGCCAGCACAGCTAATATAATAAATGTTACTTTGTATGAGTTAACATTTTCTGTCTATAAGACCCTTTTATTTTCTTTAACCTTAAATTAAGAACTTATTAATTTGTGGAAAATATCATCTGATAATGGAAAGCTATGGTCAACCTGATATTACAGGTTTGGCAGTGATTATTTGAAGAGAGAATTCCTAGCACCATCCATTTCTGGAGACCTTGTTGCCTGCATTGGTGTAAGTGAGACCGGAGCTGGGTCTGATGTTGCCAGTGAGTTGTTGTTTGTCATGGACTTACTTGTTCTTTAGCTCGTGTTTTACATCTTCTTCTTTTTCTTTTTCTAAGCGCTCACCATCTGTAAACTCCATTGGAAAGTTCTGGGTGTTTGTTCACTTTTGGACTTCAGTTTTATTGCAGAACATGAATTTTGCATACATTTTCGTTTTACACTTCTGGCTTAATTGTATGCAGACTGCTGGCTTTTTGATGCTCAGGCAAATGAGCCCTGACCTCGAAGGAAAAATGCTTAATTAGTCGCCTTTAATGGAATGCTTGTTGAGAGGCAGTGGGTGTAGTCCCCCCCTCCCCCCTCCCCAAATGGAGCCCTGGAACCCACACAGGGGGTTGTGCATCAAAGGGAGGAAGTATCACTGGAAGAAAAAAAAGTGAAAGCTGAGATAAGTTGAACCAAATGGCAAGCCCTGGTAGCCCAGTGACTCATGTGCTTACCTGCCAGCTCTGTGATCACATGTTTCTATTCTCTTTATGATCAGAATTTTTCATTGACATTTGCTGCCACATCAACCCAGCCTTAAATGGGTAACAGGAAATGTCTTGAGAAATAACATTGATTCATGTGATGTTGGAGAAATCGGCCAAACAGTGCTGATCAGTCTACAAATTTAGCAGCTGTCACCAGCATTTCCGCTTGTCTTGTGTTCAGATTTACACCAGATGGATTTTAAAGCAAAATTGACACCCAGGTCGTCCCAGCCTCAAATTGATGCCAGGTAACATCTTGGGAAGTAAAGGTGGCCGCTGTGTTGTTGACCACAACCCATCATATGCTGACTGGTCTATAAAATTAGGTGTCTAAACATATGCTCGATGCACATACCAGTTTATTGCATCTTTTTACAAAAATCAGTTCCAATCATCACACAGTCATTGATTGCTTCAACTGAAATGTAATTGTATTTATTCAGATATACAAACCAAAGCCTCTAGAAAAGGAGATGATCTCATTATTAATGGTGGAAAGATGTGGATCACCAATGGAACCCAGGCCGACTGGATGTGCTGTTTGGTCAACACTAGTGAAGGAAAACCTCACGTGAACAAGTCTCTTGTGTGCCTTCCCATGAACTTGCCAGGTAGTTGCTTCCATCTTACCACACCAAATCAAAAATATCACTAGACCCTATACATTTGATTAGAAATGGTTTCAATATTATCTGAGCAGAGATTATAGGCTCCCATAAAAAATTTAAAGTGTTTTAGAAATAGCACATATGTCCTCTAGATTTATTGCAATTACTATGGCTTACTGGATTTAGAAGTGGGCACATTCCAGTGCTTGTATTTAATACTTAGCTGCTGTTGATAATGTTTACTGTTACTTGATGTATGAATGAATTGATGTATGAAAGAAGGAAGATTAAAAGGCCAGCGAGCCCAGTTCTTAACTCTTTTAAAATAATGTTTGTTCCTTGTTTATTTGTTCCTTTGGTAAAGGTTTACCTTTATTATACATACTGTGTTTTCTCCAAAATAAGCCTTAATGCATTTTTTAAAGCAAATCTTTTAGTAAGACAATCTAATTTTTGGGAAACACAGTAGATATCTTCATAAATATAAATGTCTTGTCATAGAGCACGCATCTTGGCTGTGTTCAGCTGGGTTTTTTTTATTTAGTATACCCTTAATTGAATAGAACTGGTTACTCGTCATCAAAGGAAGTTAGTGTACAATCTTTACACTTATCAGGTAATGATAAAAATGGAAGTTTTGTGTGTCAAAGTGGGAAATGGAGGGGACAAGAAGCAGAAGGAAACTAAATGGGAAGATAGACTGTTTAGATCATGGCATGGATGAAAATTTGAATCAGAAATTAGACATGCATTTCCAGGCAGACATGGTGAAAATTGTCAAGTTTTTTTAGACTAAAGAAACCTTTGGTAGAAAAAGAAACCTTTGATAGAAAAAGAAACCTTTGATAGATCATATTTATCTTGTGACATTGAGAGTACAATCTATAAAGTGCTGATAAGACCGTTTATACTACACGGCTCTGAAACCTGAAGTACAGCTAAAAGAGTTGAAGCCTTATTACAAATTAATCACAAAGATGAAAGGAGATATTTGAAATCTGCTGCAGTAAGCCTCAAAGACTCAGAATGTTGAAAAAGAAGAATAAGAAAAGTTTTTTTATTGGATTTCACTGTTGGTTACAGGAATCACAGTTGCCAAGAATATAAAGAAGATAGGAATGTGGTGCTCCGACACAGCCCAGATTTTTTTTGAGGATGTCTATGTACCCAGGTCACACATTATTGGGGAAGAAGGTCAAGGATTCTTGTATCAAATGCTGCAGTTTCAGGAGGAACGGTTGTTTGCCACAGCAACTTGTATGTGTACTTTTATTTTGTATTTTATAGCTTGTTTTTCATTATTGTTTATTTGCTAAACTCATTTGCCTAACTTAATATTTATGATTGGAAGTTACAAATGGATGTCCAAACAAAAATAGACGAGATATGAATGTGGTCAATACTGATTTCCTCCTGATTTCTGCAGGTCTGTCTCCAGTTTTCTTCTTAACTGGATAGTCAGGGCTTTAAAGTTGAAGAAGTTGCCACGCTCAGTTTTTTGTGTGTGTGTGTGTGTTATAACAGCACAGAAAAATTAGGCCTTAAAAAGTTGTCCTAACTGTGTATTGTTGCATACCACCAGAAAAAAGTCCTATATGCTCAATACGCCTGAAGGCATAAAAAGAGGGACTGTTTACCAGGGGGGAAAAAAAGCCCTGGTCACAGTAGTTCAATTGTTGTGCAGATTCATCTAGATCTTTCTCTGCTTTGTAGTCAGAACTTAAAGTTACATGTTGTGATTTATTTAGATAAAAGGTCCAGCCAAAACATGTTTTTGTTGTTCTCCTCCCTCGTTTCGTTAAGCTTTTTAGTCACAGTTCAGTGTATTAATTTCTTGGTATTAGCTTGATTGCAGTCATCTCTGTTTTCATCATTTTAAATTAGTTTCATACCCATTACAGGCCAGTGTAAATCTGCCCTAGCAGAAGAATGATTTCATTTCACTTAAGTACATTTTGACTAAAGATTGATGGACAGACAAGACTTTTTCTGCACTTAATACAATCTGTGTTATTCTGCGGACAGGTCTGGCTCCACTGGAGAAGATGATTGCAGAAACCATTAACTACACCAGAGAAAGGAAGGTGTTTAACCAGCCACTGCTGAACAGTCAAATCGTTCATTTCACTCTGGCAGAACTAGCAGCAGAAGTGGAACTTTTGAGGTCGACCCTGTATAGAACAATAGGTATCTTTAAAATAGTCTTTTCTCATAGGCAATTTAAATAATGCAGACACAAACATTATGTTGCACAATCCTATGTTGTGCAGCCAAAAAGAGCATGTGGTAAATTAAAAACTGCCATGTTACTCATGGGACTGTCATGAACGCCTATTGATGGGTAATGCACCCGATGAGATACAGTGAAATATGCCAGACAGTACATTGTACAGTGTATTGTTTGTGATTTCATTATTCACAATAGGTGTATTGTTTCTGAGCGGAGGTGGACATTTTTTAGATGCACCTTATATTCATATGGAGGTACATTGTTCATTGGACTTTAGCAGAATTAAAACCTTTAACTCAGTTAGTCCTATGAGTTTTAATCACAGATACCCCACAGGGAGGGGTTATGGACAGTTGGACGATCAGTGAAAAATTATGTTCGTAGACAAATGATGAAAACACCATGGAAAGATAAGAAGAGTAAAGAAAATGTCTTGACAGAAATGAACACTTGAAGAGAACTAATGACTCACATCAAAAAGAAACAGTCAACATTCTTTGGTCATGTCATGAAGAGGAGAAAACTGAAGTGCATCATAATGGTGGGAAAGAATCAGAGGGAGAACCAGAGAGAAAAAGCTGGACAGTTTGATATTATGGCTTAGAAGATCTTCTGTGTCAGAAATGATTAACAGTACACAAGAGAGAAGGTTGTGGATAGACATGACTATTAGCACCTCATGGTATGCAACATGAGAAGAATACCAAATTGGGACATGAATCAGAACACAAAGAACTTGAGTATAATAATTTCAAAGATGGAACGCATGGAGTGCTGTTTTCCATGTTACAATATCTAACCAGATTTATTTAGCAAGACAAACATGAAAGGTATAAAAGACACCAAGAATTGCCTAATATTAACAGTCGATAGCTAACTACATGTTTTGCAGTGTTTGGGGAAAAGCTTTGTCTGTTTCTTTATTTAGAGACAGTAAATAGAAAATGGAGCCCTATTAGTACTGGCCAGTTGGCCTGAAGGTCTTTGGTTCAAATCAGCATTAAGGCATATTTTTTATAGTTGCCCTATTGTTCTTGGACAATGTGGCCCAAAATGGGTTTGCATTTTTATAGAGCAATTGCAGTCATCGCTACCATTGCTGGTCCCAGTGTTGGATAAACAAGGAGGAGGGCTGGGCCTAGGACCAGCTCTCCAACCCCTTCTAAAAAAAAACCAATATGCTACAGAAACTCATAAAATATGAAGACAAACGTTGATGAGAGGCCAGATGTGCTAGTGAATTTCATCCATGATAATGACCAAATTGGAAGGATAAAATGGAATAATAAACTGTTATGCCTCTATGACATATAACAGGGCGATGACTTTTAGGCAAAGTGGACCTTGAAGCCCAGGCTAGTTTGAACAGTTTGCCTCGATGGGAATTCAAAATTGTGACCACCAAACCAGCAGACAGTTGTAGTACAAACTGACCTAAAAACCCTAAACCAGCAATGGCAACTGCACTGTGATATTTAACTCTTTCAGTACCAGAGGACAGTTAAATTAGTGATAAATGAATGCTTGATGACTTCCTTGGTACCCAACGGGTTAAGGATTAATGATCATTCCTGTGATTTGTCATGCATCAGACGTCGTTTGTTCCTGTAATGAGGCGCTGTCATCATTTACAGATACAGGTCCGGTTCCCAGTAAAGAAACATAAATTTGTTTTATTTATATAGTGTCTTGTATGTTCTCCTGTCTCTCCCAATCATTTAGGCGCTGTCTCTACAGTGAAGGTCGGCTGCAATGGATCTCCAACATGCTCCATCCCTTGTCCTGGCAGTACTCTCTCAGACTACTCTTCGTTCATCTCTTGATGTTTTCCTCCCACTGTAACATTGTCTACTTCTTGCTGTCTTGCCCTTCACCTTTTCCTCCAGTCTTGTATTTAAATGAATGCAATGCCTTTTAATGCGGCCAAAATATTTCAGTTGTCTTTCAGTAACTCTTTTTTTAATTCACAGTCTCTCCAAAACCTGTGTTTGTTTTTTCTCTATGATATGCCTACTATTCTTCCATATTTCCAGTGACTTATTTAGATTTTGCAATTGCCTGTTCGTTGTTCATTTCTGCAACATTCATCAGGTTTGAGTATACATAACATTTGACGATTCCTATTTTTTTATGTGTTTATCTCTCTAGCTGTCAATAATTGTTGAAATAATGTTAGGTATTCCTCTTCTGTTCATGATTGGGCTGTTTCCCTGCTTCTTTCTATGAGTGCCAGTCAATGAATGTGATCTGTTTATCATACATATGATCTCACTGAGTGAATGTTGACTTCTCTCCCTTGTAGCCCTGTATGTAAAAGGACAGGACGTGACTAGACTTGCCTCCATTTGCAAGCTGAAGGCCGGCAGGCTCGTACGGGAGGTGTCCGATAAATGTCTGCAGTTTTGGGGAGGGATGGGCTACACCGAAGATGTTATAGTTAGCAGACTCTACAGGTATGGTGGCTTTTTTTGTCTAACATTATATTTATGAATTCTCCACCTGAGTTCTAGACTCAACTCTTGTGGGGGAAAACAAGAAAAGACCCACACTGCCTCCCAGCAGTTATGTTGGTGGCATCTTTTGAAGTCAGAGTGCATTTGTCTGAGAGGCAAGAAACCAAGAGTCTGCATACAAATCAACCACAGATGTGTGAAACGGATGCACATGCAACACTCAGTTTTTTTTAAACAAGACTCAAATCCAGATGTGGACAAACACCCGGAACTTTCTACCGGAGTTTACAACTGGTAAATGCGAAGAAGAATACTTGAGAATGGTAGAAATCTCAAATGAATTTATGTGACTGAAAGTGAGATGAGAATGAGTCAATAGTGAGGTTATAGTTAAGTGATGCTAGAGTAACCTCTCCAGTTTATATGCCTGGGCAAACCTTTTGGCCAGAAAGAACAACAGTGGAACGTAAACTCTATAGACCACTGAATGAATTAACAACAGTGAAATTTATACTAGAGACAAAATTGCTGATATAGACAACTTATTTCAGGTGAACGAAAGAAGAAGAAGAAGATGCCTGGGCATGTTGTACTGGAATAAAGGCTGTTGCCCAGGCAGGCCCTCTGTACATTGCCGTTATCGCCAAGGGAAAGACAAGTGTATACAACTTGGCACCGAAGACGTTGCAGGTATAGCATAATGATAATGAGGTGCTAGTAAGTTAGTTACTCGAGTGTCCAACTTCACTACAGACAGGTAGCATTCCATTCTGCTTCATTCCTGTTGAAGCATGCACTCTCAAAGTAAATGCATGTAAAGTGGCGATAGTGAGATGATAATGAGGTGATAGTGGGAGGCTGTTGAAGGAACAGTGAGATGATAATGAGGTGATAGTGGGAGGCTGTTGAGGAACAGTGAGATGATAATGAGGTGATAGTGGGAGGCTGTTGAGGAATAGTGAGATGATAATGAGGTGATAGTGGGAGGCTGTTGAGGAATAGTGAGATGATAATGAGGTGATAGTGGGAGGCTGTTGAGGAATAGTGAGATGATAATGAGACGATAGTCGGAGGCTGTTAAGGAATAGTGAGATGATAATGAGGCAATTGCAAGGTAATATTGAGCTGATAATGAGGTAGTAGTGAACTGATAATGAGATGATAATGCGGATATAAGATGAAAATGAGGTGATATAAATATGATAATGAGGTGATACTAAGATGTTAATGAGGTGATATTAAGATCATAATGAGGCAATACGAAGATCATAATGAGTTGAAAGTATTATGACAGTGAGGTTGTTAGTGAGATTTTCTTTCTTTTTCACCAGATTGAGCCACAGCAAAGTGTGGCGGGTACCGCTAGTATCTATTAAACATTTATTAGTACTGTACTTCTTTTGGCACCACACTTTTTTTTTCTGAGACAGATATCTGCTATCCTGGCATAACTGCAGTGACAATTATGATTGATTTTTAAATATTTTTTTTCGTACACTAATGTAAGTCATTTGGCTAAGGCCGATCAGTTAACATGCATATTAATTCCTTCCCACCACCCCCCCCCCCCCCCACCCCCCCGCCACACACACACACACACATACTAACACAGACACACATACAAACACACGCACACATACACACACACACAAATTTGTTGGCACATTCTGTTTTGGGAAACACTTTTTTGTGTTTTGGTTTTTGATTGATTAGTTTGCTCTCTAAACGTATGCAGTCCCTTGCCAGTGAGATCTTTCTTTCCAGAAAGAAGATGGCTGCAAGTAAACTATTTTGAGCACAACATGCCATTAGATCTGCTGTCTGTATGTGTTGTTCTCTCTCTCTCTCTCCACCATACCAGAACCCTAAAACACTCCACCTCCCCAAAAAACACAATGTATGCTCCATTGGAAAAGAGCAAAACATAGCATCCATGACAATAGAACATAAAGATCTGAAAGAAAAATGACAGCCACTGAAATCACACAGCTGCTCATTGCCATCTTGAAAATGGAAGCCCAAGCACTTTGGTGTTACCAACTGGAAAGAGAAGGCCAGCAAGAGAGATGAATGGAGGCTGGTAATATCTGCAGCAATGAACCTCAAGGGCTCGGAATTCTGAAGAAGGAGAAGAAGAAGTCCTTTTCAACATTTGAATATTATTTTAAAACAACATATTTATTTTAATGTCAGCAATAATTTTCCTTTTTAATATTATTGCTAGAGATTTGCGTCTGGTTTCCATTGGAGGAGGAGCTGATGAAGTCATGCTGTCAATCATATGCAAATTCATGAACACGCTACCCAATCAGAGACGTCAGTAACCTGAACTGTGTAGTTTGACTGGGTTTTTTCATTGTCAAGGTTTTCGAATGGCGTGTAAAAAATGTATAATGTATACAGGTATTCATACTTTGCACATACATATTTCTCTGTCTTCTTATGCATCTCTTGCAAAGAGGACTCTTCGTAGGACATTTCGGGACCTATTTTAACCTCGGTAAACCTGAAGTTGTTAGAGAACCATTATAGTCATGAACACAAGTTAAATGCATTAGAAGAAAAAAACTAATAAACATTGATGAATGAACAGTCAAGGGAATTAATTTTTAAAAGGCAAAGAAACAACATAAATCACTGGACTATCTCTGTTATCAACAGATATAAGACCAAGAAGATGGTGATATTTTACGCACATACGGAGGAGAGTCAGACAGAATCGCCAAACAGGCACTGAAAGGGGAAACAAATGGATCAAGAGGGGAAAAAAAACTACTAAAAGGAACCTTTAAACAAGCACTGACAAGAGAGCCCAAAAGTGCTGGATTGGATTATATCCATGACATCATAGAAATTGTACAAATAAACATCACTACAGGAGAATGGAGGATTGGCAGAGTCCCTAAGGATATCCTTTATGGTGAATTAAAAGCAGGAAGAAGATGTCGAGGCCGACCTCTATTATGGTATAAAGATGCATGCAAGGGGGACATAAATGATACAGGTATTGAGGTGGACTCATAAGGGAAAAAAAAATGCCATGGACTGTGTTGTGTGGAAAGGGCATATCAGGAAGGGAATGAGAGTGAAGGAAGAAATGATAGCAAAAGGATGAGAGCTGAGTGTCTGAAAAGAAATGGATTAAACACAAATGTTGACTACAATGGTCTTGAAATCCCATGCTATCATTGTGGAAGACCTTTGCTAGTCACACTCGCCATCGCCATGGGCTGTGAGAGTCCCATGCCTCCTCATGGCGCAATATAACACTATCGCGTGGAAAGACGGAAAGGTGCCAATCAATCAGTCAGGGTGATAATGATCAAATATGAGAGCTTGTCAATTTAAGAAAATCTGTTGTCAGTCCATAGGTTGCTGTCGTCACATTAAAGACTCTCTTTATGTAGCTAATTCTCTAGCTTATATGCTTTCATTCCTAGCTAAAGTATTTTCACTGTCTTGTGTCTATCTTCGTGGAGATATTCTTCTGTCTCATTTTCCAGAAGCTGTACCGACCATCACCGTCCCCCTAAAGCCACTGTGACATTTAAGCCAGCGTGACATTTAAGCCAGCATGACATTTGACATGTGCAGAATAACTCAGCTTTCAGGACAGATGTAAAAACAAATCTACTACACTGCAGTTTGAACCTCATGACCATCAGACTGGTAGGATCAATGTTCTAGCAACTGTAGTACTGTGGCGCTTCCTCTGTTCATAGTTTGATGGATCAGTTTGTCCCCTCTGTTCATAGTTTGATGGATCAGTTTGTCCCCTCTGTTCATAGTTTGATTGATCAGTTTGTCCCCTCTGTTCATAGTTTGATTGATCAGTTTGTCTACTCTGTTCATAGTTTGATCGATCAGTTTATCCCCTCTGTTCATAGTTTGATCGATCAGTTTGTCCCCTCTGTTCATAGTTTGTTCATAATTTTGATCAGTTTGTCTACTCTGTTCATAGTTTGATCGATCAGTTTGTCCCCTCTGTTCATAGTTTGATGGATCAGTTTGTCCCCTCTGTTCATAGTTTGATCGATCAGTTTGTCCCCTCTGTTCATAGTTTGATCGATCAGTTTGTCCCCTCTGTTCATAGTTTGATCAATCAGTTTGTCCCCTCTGATGTTTACCATACGATCCTCAGATTTGCAAATCTCAATTTAGGTGGCCGACCAACAAGGCAGATCCCAGATGCCCTGCTGAACCTCCAAAATAAGTTATAATTAGGGCATCCATAATGGCCACACCAGCCAGGTGTCACCTGCAGTCCAATGCTGATAAGGACATTATTTTTAGTCCTCATACGTTGCATTTATTTTGTCTTCGTTGTCATCATCATGTGCCGTTCCTAAGCGTAGACTGTCATGTTTTGTCATCTCACACGATCACCAGAATCACAAATGATTTCACTGCTTTTGTCGTGATAGTCTGTCCAGGTATTTATCTTTTTGCCTTTCTCTTGTTCTCTTTCCATCAATCTTGTCAGTTGTTACCAAGTTCTGGAGTCCATCCCTTCTCATAACATGTCCAAATCTAGATTCTTTATCTAATTTTTCTAATAAGTTCACGGCTTTCATCTGTCTCGATTAGGACTGATTTGTTTGTTTCTCTATCCACCCATGATATTCACTGCATTTTTCGTGTTTTAGATCTCTTATTTGGTAAGGAGAGGTAATGAAAAGAATAAAACATACTGAAACCTTGGCCCCTTTTAACTACTTAGGAATGAGGCCCCGAGGTTCTGGTGCTCATGTTGTTGAATAAAAAACTGAATGACACATCAGTGCTGCTGCATGGAGCGGGACCATGGAGAACTACTTAACCAGTTACTGAATGGTTAGTTGCGTATCCTTTACAGGACTTTGCAGAACCAACCCCAATAGCCCCTGGCTGTTGTGTGGTTTTCTAGGCACATTTACGTACAGTAGCTTGCCATTGCTTTCTGGACGGTCGGCTTTCTTGCTACCAATGTCGAAACCAACGCAAGGCGCATTGCCCACAGCTGGGATCGAACCCGGCATCCGGAGCGTTCGCATCGACTTAGCCACAGAGCCGACAGTTACTTAATAAACTATAAAAATTCATTAACTGGTGCCTGCGCAGAATAGAGGGAATTAAATGGTATGATAGAATTACTAATTTTAAAGTTTAGGAAAGAACTAAACAAGTTCTATTGGACCAAGAGGTGAAGAAAAGACACTGGCGCTGGATAGGACACACATTGAAAAAAATAGAACAACAAAATAACTAGAATGTCTTTGCGCTGGAACCTACAGGGGCATAGAAATAAAGACAGACCAAAGAAAACACACAGAAAATGGAGGTAAAGAGTGAAGTTTAACAAAAGATGGGGAGGACATGGGGTCAGCTTCATGCAATAACAAAGAATAGAATGACGTGGTGTGAGTTGGTTGAGGGCACCTGCTCCATTGGGAGATAGAAGTTTAACAAAAGATGGGGAGGACATGGGGTCAGCTTCATGCAATAACAAAGAATAGAATGACGTGGCGTGAGTTGGTTGAGGGCACTTGCTCCATTGGGAGATAGAAGTTTTAACAAAAGATGGGGAGGACATGGGGTCAGCTTCATGCAATAACAAAGAATAGAATGACGTGGCGTGAGTTGGTTGAGGGCACCTGCTCCATTGGGAGATAGAAGTTTAACAAAAGATGGGGAGGACATGGGGTCAGCTTCATGCAATAACAAAGAATAGAATGACGTGAGTTGGTTGAGGGCACCTGCTCCATTGGGAGATAGAAGTTTAACAAAAGATGGGGAGGACATGGGGTCAGCTTCATGCAATAACAAAGAATAGAATGACGTGGCGTGAGTTGGTTGAGGGCACCTGCTCCATTGGGAGATAGAAGTTTAACAAAAGATGGGGAGGACATGGGGTCAGCTTCATGCAATAACAAAGAATAGAATGACGTGGCGTGAGTTGGTTGAGGGCACCTGCTCCATTGGGAGATAGAAGTTTAACAAAAGATGGGGAGGACATGGGGTCAGCTTCATGCAATAACAAAGAATAGAATGACGTGGCGTGAGTTGGTTGAGGGCACCTGCTCCATTGGGAGATAGAAGGGGGGGGGGGGGGATAATTATAGAATATCTTTTCTTTGCAGTGCAGGGAACTCTGAACACTTCCCACCCAAGTTATGCCTCTGCTACCTCATGTTTTTTCACTTTCATTTTTTTCATTATCCGGCATTAACATATGTGCACATTTTCCGTAAGCAGATGTTTGTACTTGTATTATAACTTTTTTCTAATATATTACTAATTTGTGTTCAAATATATTTGGATACTGCATGTTTTTTTTTTTTTTTTTTTTGGGGGGGGGGGGGGGGGGGGGGGGGGGGCTCTTTTATTTAATATATTTTGTAATGATGTTCCTTTTTTAGTTGTTTCATAAAATAATTCCATGTTTGTTAATTATTCTAAGTCGATCATTGCATGTTTTTTTTGTTGTTGTTGTTGTTGTTGTTGGTGTTTTCTTGTTTAATAAAGTTATTTAGATAATACTGTTGCCATGCACCCACGGACGCTATAGTCTGTTTTAAACAATTGGAAATCATGAAGTATGATTCAGCTTTACAGGAAACATACGATATAAAGGTGTATGCAAGCAGGACATGAATGATACAGGTACTGAGGTGGACTCGTGGGAACAAAATGCCATGGACTGTGTTGTGTGGAGGGGCACACCATGAAGGAACAGTGAATGAGAAAAGAAACGATTGCAGAAAGGATGAGAGTTGAGCGTCAGTGAAGAAACGCACTAAATACAAATGGTGTCAAAAACGGTCCTGAAATCCCTGCTGTAATTGTGGAAGACTTGTCTTTAAGCGGGCGGGTCTTGCTAGTCACACTCGCCATCTCCATGGGCTGAGTCCCATGCTTCCTCATAACACAGTATAACGCTATCGTCTGGAAATAATATGGAAATATTTAAAACCGAATGAAAATTAGATCAGGGAGATTCACAATATTACAAACGAAACGTGAACGTTGCGGATATAGAGCCTTAATCAGTACATACACAAATCGAAGAAGAAAAAACCAACAAGAATTAAACAAAAATCACTTAACTGACGTTTCTCAAAGCAGCCACGTTGATGTCCTCCAGTGAAATCGTCTGAAAAGACGGAAAGCGCCAAGAAAAAAAAATTACTGTCACGGCAAATGACGACGATGACACTGTGTGACTACAGAACTTCGGGACAGAAGCGACATAATACTTACAACATGGATACGCTGTTGAAGAGACAATGTAAGCTAAAGTAACAACCAAAACAAGGTGAGCTAACGTTATTCAGGTCGAAACAGC